ATCTGGCAGTTCAGTCGACGGGGAAGCCAAAGGGGAATTGGAGGTGGAATTCAAATTTCAGAGACGTAGTTGCAAGCTCTCCTTCCTTTTCCCACCCTGCCACCAGAGCACCCTGGAGACCTTGCTCACAGGCTATTTTCTACAAGGTCTAACATTGTGCTTGTTGCTGCTGCAGAATCGAATTCCAGACAGAAATGATGCAGCTGCTGTTCAGCAGTTTTTCATGGAGGAAATTCAGATAGGAGAAGATCTTATTCATCAAGGTCTGTTTTCATGGTTTTGTTTTTGGGTTTTGGGTGGGAGGGCACTTCCTTTGTTGGCCATTAGGGGGATATAAAAAGGAGCAAGGGTGGTGCAAAGCACTCACCTCCAGCCAGTTGACTAGGTGTTGAACCTAGTGACATGTGGGATGAGTTATTAGATGGTTCTCTCCCTTGCATCGAGAAGTAATGCTCTGATTAGTCCAAGTTTCCTCTCTCATTAAAAACCAAAATTTTCAAATTCCAGTTCAACCAGGAATGGTAGATGAAAAACCACCATGTGGATGTGCTACCTCTAAATCATTATAATTTTTTATTTATACCACTGCACAGAGCATGTTTTTTGTCTCTCTGAGGGTATTTAATAAGTATTCTAGTTGAGCTTGCCCTAAATGGAATCTTATGTTTTCACGTCAATTTGTACATGGATAAACATCAGGTTTATAATACAAATATAACTAAAATACTATATAATTTTTTGCAGCATATGTGCGAACGTAAAAAGTAATAGATTTCAAATAATTATCATGGGACATTTGCTCTCTTAGCTCATTTCTCTCCTAATGCTGTGTTTAGGTTGAAAGTTAGCGGTTGCCAAAAGCTTGTCAAAGATTTTGCTTGTCTCATATCAGAGGGTAAATTGTTCCACAGAACAGCCCTGCTTTAACAGCACTGGCTGTCCAAACTCACATTATGAGGAAAGGGTGTAAAGTAATTAACATACCATAGGTGAGGTGTGACCTTTGTGCTGGATATGCTGGTGTCGTGTTAGTCGTGTATAAAGGCACTAAGTGAGGACTTCAGTGGAAAATTGACCTATAGAGGAAAATAAAAATATCCTTGTGATATAGCCCCTTTAATAAAATACATATCACCAGACAAGGGTCTCTACATATCTTTCTACAGGTGAAACTGATGAAGGAATCAATCACCTAATTAATGCTGTCACGGTGTGTGGTCAACCACAGCAGCTTTTGCAGCTCTTTCGTAGCACTCTTGATGATGAGCCTTTCCAAAAGCTTCTAGAAAAACTTTCCTCCATGGCCTCTAACCCTATGGTCCAGCAAGTACACGTAAGTGAAAACACAAACTCACTTGTTTAACTTCTAAGTTATGACAATATGCTTGGTGTAGAAATTGGCGTGGTGTCAGTCTGTGAGATGTCCACTCTTCTTACCGGAAATTAATGATATTTATTTTCTCAACACTCTGTGGGAAAGGAGGATGACATCCAAAGAAAAGGACAGGGCCAATGTTTCTGGGCAGAAGGGTGAGGGGCTCAAACCAAAAACTCCCTACTACATTTGCCATCTAATGGTTAAGCCTTATATGTCTTGTTTTTATAATTTGGAAACCCTCAGTAAGCCAACTGTAGCAGGATAATATATTATTATACACTGGCAAATTATTTTTCGGGGAAACAGTGAAGAACCCTTGGGTATCAGCAGTGTGCCCTTACCAACCAGTTCCAAAAGCACCTTATTTCCTTGAATAAGCCTTCTCCCCCAAATAAGCACCCACCGACTAGGCAAGTGCTCCTCTCAATCAAGAACCCCCCCCTTCCCCCCGCCCGCCGGCCTCCTGCAAAGATGATGAGATAATCAATATTTTATAATCAGGCATACTGATACATTAGTGTGTAAATTGCTTAAAGTGCATGGGGACTAACTACGGTACGCTTCATAGACAACGACTGTATTGACAAACGAAAGACTATTAATATTTAACCAAAACAAATTTACACTTCCTTCAGAGGAAAACTTAATAATTGCTCCCGCCCCCCCTCGATTAAGCGCCCTCCTTCCAATTAGCATCCCTCTTTTTGGCAGTAATCTCAAATAAGCACCCAGGCATTTATTCATTCAAGGAAATATGGCATTTGAATTTCCTGCCATTTTGATTGGTCATAAAACTATTTTATCTGGTTAACGCATGAAACAGACCTGGTGACCAGAGGATAATGTTGGTCAATGGTTTCCATGATAGTGTCTCTGTTTAATGGAGATGTGTTTCTCATGAATGTCTTTGTTTTTTTTTTTGCAGCCAGCAGGATTTAGTGGGGACTCACTGGATTAATGTTTACTTAGACATTTACAGTTAGGCCCAGTTCAGACATCACATTTCACATGCGCCAAATCTAATAACAAGAGTTTTTCTCCATTAGCATTAGATTTGGCACATGTGAAATGCAGTGCTTGAACCACGCCTTAGTTAATATTTTTTACTGAGACATTGTTTGCTGAAGAAGCAGAAGTGTTGCCCTGGGCAGTTAGCTCTGTTGCCTGTATTTAACCATGAACTCAGAGAAGAAATGTGTCATTAATACAGGGATGGAAAGTATGGTCCGGTTTCCTGATAACAAGTTTGAAGCAAGTCTGCAACATTGCTGCAAAATGAATTGAACAGCCAAGTTGCACGTTTTACAACCCACATTCGAACCTGTCCTGCATCAAATAAGGTTGCAAGGTTTTTTTTCCTGGGTGGTAAAACGCGCAGCATTGCTGTTCAACTCATTTTGCAGCAATGCTGCAAAACAAGTCGCATGTTTTTTGTTGCCCGTGTTACTGTTGACCGATATTGAAATGTCACTGCTAAGAGTATCATGGCTCACAATAAGGTTCCAATGACACTGTTTTATTGAAGTTTACTGGGTAGGAATTGTCAACCAAATTTATTTCTGGTAGACAGTAAAATAAGGTATATTACATTGCTTCAAACTATACCAGTGCCTTCCAGCCCCTCAAAGGCTTTATTTGTTTGAGACAACATATAGCAACTTTCATGTTTAGATATGGCTTGAACCAACAACACAACCTTTTTTCATGTTGATGTTGATTTGCACCTTGTCAAGGTTGCTCAACTAGACATATTATTATTAGTTGGTTAGCTGGGGTAAGTCCATTTTTTGTAGAACTTACAGGTTAGAAAGAAATCACTTATAACATTTTTTAAGTAAGTTCATTGTTGTTTACACAAAGTGCTTGAGAAAGTAATGACAAAACCTGAGCTTCATGACAAACATTAAGCACTATGTGTAAACAACAATGACCCTAGAAAAACAAGAATGATGAACTTAGGCTGAACTGTTTTCAGAACCCCTGATTGGAATCCATTTTAATACGTTTTAATTGCCTTCGTTTGTATTTGATATTTTACCCCATGGTTCGCACTATCTTGAAAAGGTCTTGAAATGTAGTAGTTGTCTTGAAAAGTTTTTGAATTCGGTTAAGGTTCTTAAAAAGTACTTGATTTCTTTATTAGGTCTTGAAAAATTCTTGAAATTCACTACCTTGTCTAAAAACATTTTTGAACATGAGCAATATCTTAGTTTTGTTTCTTTATTTTTAATGCTGTTTCTGTACCTCAGATGCAATTGCAAGTCATACCCAGTCATTTTCCAAAGCTTTGTTGTCGAAAGTAGTATAAAATAATGTGATCAACCATGGCTGAAGAAGTAAAAATTGCAAATGACAGACTCCATGATGTGTTTTAACCAGTAAGGTGTTCAAAAGGGGGTTAAAGAAGGCCTATTTATTGAATAAATCTTAGTCCTTGAAAAGTCCTTGAAATTTGTTTGTCTGAAGTTGTGCGAACCATGTACCCTCCTTCAATGTTTTTGACACTATTTTTGTTTCACTCAGTTTGGTGGTCAAATGGCCAAAATTTGTTTCACATCTCCTTTTAAGACTGATTTTAGAATAATTATTGTAATCACTGAAATCTTCTTATCATAACTATAACAAAATTCTCTAATCTGATTGGCCATTGGCAGGCCTGCATTTTTTTCATCAGTAGGTGCTATTGCTCGTTTTATTTAGCTTTTGAATTTTTTTTTTTCACATCTAGCGAAATACTCTCAGAAGATCTTGTGATTTAATTTTTTGTTGAAAAAAAGTTGATTTAAGTATCAAAATTTTGTCTTAGTTATCATTAAATAAGGTAACATTTAACACTTAATGGTCCTGAGGGAAACAGTTAATTTTGTTCCCCGAGAAACTCAATGTTTCCCAAGGTAGAACTCTGGAAGCTGGAAATTCAGTAAACCTCGACGTAATGGCGGTCGCGGGTCAACATTCACTGGTTGCAGTGCAGTGTTACCCTCTGATGTCATAGATTTTGCAATGTTGCCCACTCGGAGATTTTGGCTGGAAACAGTTTCATTGTTAATGTCATGTGACCATGAGGTAAGCAACAAGAGGGCGCGCTGTTGGGACAAAATTTCCAGTTATATAACAAAAGTTCTTGTCACCCTATTCGGCCTGTAATGAAATCAATTGGATTAAACAAATTGTACCCCTTCAACACGTATGTCTGATTTTGTTTTTGATTACAGACTGAATTGGACTCCGCTTAATGCTATTACCGTTATTGTTGTGTTATGTCTCTGATCAGTAAACCAGCAGTAAGATGATTTTAAGTTATTAGTTGTAACTGAACAAAAAATATATTACTGATGATATGACATGGAAAATAAAGTGGACACGACCAGCTAAATAAAGCAGCCTTTCTAACTGTAGATGTAGAATGTTGGACATTTGAAGTGTTACAAACATTGTAAAAAATATAACAAGTTTGCAGGGGTGTAGCATGAGATTTTGAAGGTGTTCGCACGCGGCAAGAAAAGTTGGAGAACGGAACGCACTCCAAAGTAGGGGGCATGGGGGAATACTCCCACGGGAAATTTTTCAATTTACGGTTTCGGAAATACTATTTCCTACATTTTTCTGTAATTGTTGTTTAATTTTTTAACCTATCTCTAGTGTTATCAGTAAGGTACAATGTTTATGGGGAAAATGGTAAAACAGTGACACCATCAAACAGGTTACCAGAAAAGGGTGAGATGTCTACCCTTCAGAGGGCAAACTCTGTTACAACGCCATCGATATCAACAGCCTTGTGCTTGTGTGTGTGTGTTCAGAATTGCAAGAGAGCTTAATCTCTAGTCTCTCACCCCACTATATCGTTTCTTGCAATCCATTGACAGAATAATTAAGGATGAAGGAAATATAAACACAAAGACACTAATGCCATGCGAAAAATTTAGCAGTCATCCCAATTTAATGATAAAAATGCTGACAGGAAAAAAATTTATATATTTTTTCCCAGATTTCAACCGTATGCATGGGCATAAGTGCATAATTATTTGGATGCTACGTTCCTAGTTTGTACAGTGCAACTTTCATATTATGAAGTGCCAAGGGAATTATGTGTTTGTTTTTATGGGGATAAAAATGTAACATAATTGAGGACAAAAATATTGTTTGCTATACCCAGGTTTAAACAAACCCTGGTTGGTAAAAATGGCATTTGGTTTTATTAACATTAATTTTGTACATTATTTACAGAATAAAACTTCGTTCATCCATTTCTTATATGAGTGGAGGAACATCTGGATCATCTACAAAAGTGCTCTCTTCTGATTCTGTTATTCTGTAGTTAACTGTGTCTTTTTGGTTTCTTGCTCTTTCATGAACAGTTTTGTTTTCTGTTACAATTTGACTGAAATCCATGTCACTGCCAGTGTTTGGTTCTACTTCCAGTCGCTCATGATGAATCCTGAAAAAGGGATGAAGAAAAAAACACACACTAAAGTGAAGCCCTGTTTGGATAAAATTCCTACAAGGGACATAAAGGTGTGGTTAAGCGGGGGACAAAAATGTGCGATGTTGCACATTTTATCACACATGAATTAGCCTGGCGTGGCAGGCGTTAAAAGGGGAAGGGAGAATTTGGGCATGCGAGAGCACGCGAGGGAGAAAGGAAAGGAACACCTGTTAGGAGACCATTGTTTTCTTCAGCATTCCTTTCCTCTCTCCTTTGCACGCCCAAATTCTCCCTTCCCCTTCCCCTTTTAATGCCTGCCATGCAGGCTACCCATGAATCAAACCTGTCTTGCAACAAATCAGGTTGTTGCAGCTTGCTGCAAAAAGTAGAGAGTACTTGTACAAGTTGCGCATTATACCAGCCCAAGGTAAACTTGTTTTGCAACAAGTGATGTAACAACTTGGTCACAACTTTATGGTTCTCGGTGCCAAAGAATGTTATAAAATCTCACAAACGTTAACCTTTGTTGTTTTATGACAGAAAAATCGTGCTTCATGGCTGCAGTGAGTTAGAGAATCCATTAATGAAATATCCCATACTGCTTCATGGTTCCAACAATGTTATTTGATATAGCTGCACATTACCCGCTATTTTTCCCTTGCTTTTGGAATGGTGACTGTTCATCTCTGTCTGTCTTCTGTTCATTTGGACTTGCAGTCTTTTTCGAGGGCAAATTATTTCTCAATGGTTTCACCACTTCTTTTACCTTTAAAAACAATATTATTATCGAGAAAGCAAGATGTCACAACGGCAACACCAAAGAGGGGGGGGGGGGTACTCTGAAGTTAAAGTGAAGGGGATGATTGAAAGATTTTTAGGGGCTCCATTCTGGGATAATTTCTTAGGGTAGGAAAATTTAGCAAGTAAGCTTTTGGTTTTCCTTGGTTTAAGTATTGATTTTTTGGTGCAATCAAAAGAATCTGAAGACTGGTGTTGTAATGTGGGTGTATGTTGGCTGCAAAGATCTAGACCACCATCTGAGGAAAAGACAGACAATTCTGATGGTTTGATGAAAAGACAATCATAAACATTCAATTTGGTAAAATTATTTTTTACCTGTTTTATTTTCCTTTTTGAAAATTTTTAAGGCATGGAATTAAATTCAGCATTTGGATATTTTGGGGGGTTTGTATTTGGTCCAGGGAATTTTTGGGGTTCAAAGAAAATCCTAGGGCTTTTTTGGTTTTAATTTTTGCCCCTTTTTATCATCCCCTCACTTCAACTCTGGAATACCCCATGGGGATTAAGGACATGGTGGGGGGGGGGGGCTTTTCAAACCAAATTACACGTTCCCCAAAACAGTCTTTTGTTGTCTTTGACTATGGAGACTATATATATGCTTTGATGTAGGATATAATGTAAGATATTATTGCATAACAATTTAATCTTCTACCTTGGGCATTTCTATGATGAGATGTCCTGTTGTCTGAGATCTTTTTGCAGAGCAGGAGTCAGGGTTTACTTCCTCTGATAGAGCCAGCTGAAACACCTTCACAAAACAAATGAGTGAGGTGTGAGAAATGAGGCGTCATGCATGATTAATAGCTACATGTATGAACTAAAAGAAACAGAGAAAAATGAAAACCATTAATAAGGGAAAATCAAAGTTTAGATGTGTAAACACTGGGTAATTACTGTCAAAGTTTTTAAGGAATATTAATGTCGCCATTGATTATGCTATGGTTGTGCTAAAAAATAATATAGTTCATTTTGATGTCATAATTAATATTCTTCATTTCCAAAAAGTCCTACATTATACAATAAGCCTGAAGAATAAAGTGACAAAAACATGGGTATGCTCCCAATGGAAATGCTTGCATTTTTTTGTATCTCATTGCTTGAGTTCAAGGCTGTTAAAGATGGGCTTGCTGTGCTTGTGAGCACCTCACCTTGCCCTTAACTGTGACTCTACAATACTTGGGTTGAACATCCACATCGATAAGGGAAGTGTCCAAATACCTTTTACAGACAAAATAAACAAACACGTCAGTGAACAATTATTTTAGTGCAACTTTCACTTACATGCAGACTAATGATACAGAATTAGGACTTGATCTGTGCAACGACCTCATTACAGTTGTTTGGTCTTTTCTTAAAAGTGCTTCAAAATTGCTGAATTTTGGCATGTGACTTTTGTTTTAGTAGACAAACACTGTTCTAATATTGAACTTACTTGAAACATGGTAGATCCAGTATGAATTGGTTGTTGTCCTCATCATCATGAAACTGAAAGTCCCATCTGTGACATTATTATATTTTAACATAGTTAATGATATAAAAGATTCAGACTTCATCTTATGTTGTTTCCCATAACTTCACAGCAAGGCAAAACTTAAGACGAGCTTTGGAGATAAAGAAAGCTTTTGATTTTATTGTTTGTGCATCATGCAGTTTATAACTACTTACTTTCCTTGGTTGATATTTAAGACACGGCCATCATCTGAAAAGAATCTTGTTTCTTTTGTAGGCTTTCCTCTTCCAAGTTTCCTTTAGAACAGATTACAGTAAAGTTAACATAGGTAACTTAGGTAAGGTAAAGGTATACATGAGCCAAAGGCCCAAACGGCCAAGCTTATCCCGGTTTCCTTCATAGCATGAAGCATGCCTAGGAGTACTGCTACTCCCCCCTGGACAGGATGCCAGTCTATCACAGGGTTACCCCCAGCAGTATGTCGCCGGTGCCCATTTTATACATGCACCTGGGTGAAGAGAGAAAAAGTGGAGTAAAGTTCCTTGTCTAAGGAAACGACATGCATGAGGCGAGGCTTAATTGAAGCCTGGACCTCCAGATCAGGTGTTTGAGCTGTTAACTGCTCAACTACCCTGCGAGCAGAGGCCCTTTGATGTTCCTAGATAAGAGGAAGGGACCTCTGCCAGCTGCCTCAACTTTCTTCCTTCCTCTTCCCGACTTATTATCTACGAAGATCAAAAGGCCTCTGCTCACAGGGTACTGCCCGGCCACACATGCCTCCACATAGGTAACTAAAGTGTTGTTTAAAAGAGGAAATTGAGCTAACTGGATATCCGCAATAAATTTATTACTACTCGTGCTCCCTGATTTATACTCAAAACAATGTCCCAGAGAATATAAATTTTTTGTATAGAAATTATTTGAGGAAAACTTAAGTGCTAGATTTAGCCCTCCTCAAAAGTTTTGCACAAGTTGAGAAGCCCTCTTAGCTGGGGGTAGTGTATGTCCCTAGTCAGAACTTCAAATAGGGTCATTTCAGGTTTTGAGGAGTAAGCCAAGTCCCCATATCGGTATTTAGTTGTAAATGTTTCAAGGCCATGTCGCCTGTCAGAATTTTACTCTAACAGAGCCTCAGTAAACAAAGAAAAAATTAAATTGGAAATAACAATAACTTTTATATAATGCTCTTTTAATTTGTATATATGGGGCACAACTGCAGTCACAATCTTGTACCAAGCTAATTGCAATCATTAATGCACCATTTGGAATCATGTTCCTGGTAAACTCTGCTATACATTTGAATTCCAGGATGCCGTTAAACTCAACTTGCAAAACGTCCTTTTGACTCTCTAATAAGTAACAAATACTCACTCATCATCCTTTTTTTCTTTTTGTTTTCGTTTTTCTTCTATGTGCTTATGAAGTTCAATTCGGGATTCTGGAGTGAAGTCTGTTTTTTCTTGCCAGTATCTGAAATACAAAAATGCTAATAAAATTAATTAACATCATAATTTACAAAAGAATGACTAAACAAAATGAGAGGAAGATAGAAAAAATGAATGAATGAATGAATGAATGAATAAATGCATGCATGTATGAACGAACGAACGAACGAACGAACGAACGAACGAACGAACGAACGAACGAACGAACGAACGAACGAACGAACGAACGAACGAACGAACGAACGAATGAAAGTGGAGTGACGGAGGGAGGAAGGGGAAAGAAACACTGGGTTCATTAGAAATGGACTGTTTTTAATGAGGAATTTGAAATGTTGAGATAAACTTGCCAACATAGAGTTGAAAGCTCAAAAAACTCTTCACAACATTGTGTAACTTAACTTGTGAGCAATGAAACTATTCTTCTTCTGTTAAATGAAAAGACATGCAACCCTAAATCTGAGGTGGGGCTTCCATAACGTTGCACTTAATGATTGAATTCTTCAGGATCTTTAATTCTTAAAACAGGTGGTTTTTTCATTCTACTCATTTGCTACATAACATGATAACAGTAAAAACCTACAAAAATAATACCTTTTTTCCTCTTCATCCTCCTCTTTTTCCGTTTCACCTTTAGCACTTTTATTTCAAGTTAGAAAAAGATATAAATCAACTGTCTACATCATTTAAGTAATAGAAAGTTTAAGACACCAAGGCACTATTGACATCAGTGAATTTGTCATTTGATATAGTGGACTGATGCTTTTTTTCAAAGTTCATTGTGATTAATATTGCAAATGGAGGTAAAAGTGCAGATTTGTTGCTTCCATTCAACCTTTGTGTTTTGAAGTTCCAAATATTGCTACAACTACTGTTAAGATAACTTGAAATCTCTAGTAATAAAATACTGAAAACGATGCCTCTGGCAGGAAAGTGACCACTTGACCACAATGTCTTTTCAAAAATAAAGATTAGACGTGAACTTATTACACATAAGACAGTGCTCTAAGAAAATTGGGGGAGAGCTTTAAAAAGGCTCTTAGGCAGTGAAAGCTTTGTGCAAAAACTAAGAAATCCTTCCCTCCCCTATGACTGCAAAAGTACAAATATGTACCATAAAGTCATCAGGGGCTACTTAGGCTTCACTTCTGTCACTCAGTTGGGTCCTAGCTTGGCCTCATTTTCTGAACAACGGCCGGTAATGAAGCCTATGGGCTACTGGGCACTGCCGCAGTATCAGGTTTGTCAGAAAGTTTTGAAGTAGACAGCTGAGTCGTAAAAGTAAGGGGCCAGTTCAGGGATATTTTATTTAAAAAACCCCATCCATAAAGAAATGCCAAGCAGAGAAGCCGGCCAATACTACGCAAGTAGATGGTGATTTTCACCGACAGCCAGCTACTTTTGACAACCCTGCAGTATAAGCTCCATTACCAGCTGGTGTTTGGAAAAATGAACCTGTGCTCAATTGATCCTCATGAAGGAGCGAAGACCAGATTTTAAAGAGCCATGGTGCGAGGAAATCAAGCTTATGCTAGACCACAGCTAGCCTGCGAACGCTGACATATTTCTGGTTGTTGCTTCTCTAAATAATTATGTCTGCATTTGCAGGCTAGACCACAGCCCAGGCCAGTGTCCATTATGTTGGTGATGGTCTGAAATAAATCCATTTAAATTCTACCTCTGAGCTTCTATACAGCTTTGACTGTCAGCTTTCTTTAAGAGTTCTTCTTTCTCTTGTTTTACTTTTAGAGCATCCTGCTTTTCTTTTTCCTGAAAGAAAGTCCATTTATTAAAAACTGCATAACTACCAAGTGATATTACACCAAAATGCTGATGAGACAGCCTAGCCTTTCTCCTTCAAGCTCCCGCTGGGTTACTGATTTCAATAAAAAATAGAAAAATATTATTAAAAATACTAAGTGCACAGTTCCCCCCCCCCCCTTCTTTCCAACCTCCCTATGACACAAAGAGGTCTATATTATGTGGAGGAGAGAGAGAACTGGCTTGTACGACGACTCTGTCTTAGGGCGGCCATTACAGTTCTGAACTTCACCTGCCCATCAATTTTTTAAAGAGTGGTTGGCGAGATCTGACTCTCTCTTCCTCTACCTTCCCCCTGCAGGTGTCATTGATGTTATTACATCTATAATCTGTATGCAAGTAATCATCTGGTTACTAATTGACTGATGAGGTAGGCCTTTATTTGGGAGACAGGGCACTTTTTAGAGCCTAGGTGCTTATCACCAGTCATTATTTATTGTTTCCTGTTAACAAGTAGTGTGGATTAAAGAGTGGGATTAATGTTTTCAATTTGCCAGTTTAAGTCTCAAGCATGATGAATGAGACTTGTGAAGAGAAAAAAATAACTTTGAATAAATAAAGTACAGAAACAAACAACGTTTTAATGAGTATAATAATTCACTATTAATTTTATAATACAATTTCTGGGAAATTAAATAAGTCTTCACATGTACATGTATATTTGGTTTAAAAGGTTTTCTTTAATTTGTTAAGAAGTTAGAGATTTCTTGACTTACCCTTTTTTTGGAATACTCTGTTTGTTGAGTAATAATCTTGTTTCTGACATTTTCATAATCCTGTACAAAAAAGGGTTGTAAGTACAGGAAGAGGTCAATAGAGTACAGGATCTAACAAACATTTTATATTTAAAAGCTCAGATGAAATCACATTCTTATCATGTATCTATATATAAACACATAGAGCAAATGAACATTTTTTGCAGCTTCTTTTCTAACACCCTCCCATCAGAGCCTTTGCGTTTGGTAGCTTGATTACAGACTCTGCATGAATTGAGTAAGATCTTTGTTGAGCATGTGCGGCATTTTGCTAGGATATAGTTTCAAACCCAGACCTAACAGTCTTGTGCTTGCTACAGAGGGCTTGGTTATGACCATCGGTTTATTAATAAATGGATACTCGCACTAAAAAAAACCAGTTTGACAAAAGAAAACAAGATTGACTGGTCCAGAAGTTTGGGCTGTGGCGACCTCAAAGGTTTGAGGCAATTCAGGCAAAGTTTCCCTTTCTCCTCCTTTATTAAGAAGACAAAATTAAAGGAAGCTTGCAGGGTACTTTTTGCAGTTAAAAATTGAAATATAAACTTTTAAAATATTAATATGTATATTTTTATATATGCAAAATGGGATTGAATAGAAGCCAAACCTGTTTTGCTAGAATCCTCTCAGATTTTTCAATCTCTTTTCCATCAAGCCACTGTAAATTATCCAAGGTAGCAATGACATATTCTCTGTAACCCTCATACTCCGTGCAAGGATTCCCCGTCAGATATCTATATGTATAACCAGAAAAAATATCTCAGATAAAAAATGTGGTGGCTGCCAAAACATTTATACAGCTTTAGGGCAGAGCCCATTGCCAAAAACTGACAAAAACAACAAAACTGGAAAAAAAAGCTCTCTTTACTATTCATATGATTGTATACATGATCAAAAAGGTTTTTCAGTGTAGTCTTAATGTCATTAACATAAAACATTGGTCTGATCATACACAGGGGATTAAGAAAGCTAAGTGTGGGTGACAACAGGCCATGGTGTTGGTTTCCTTTCTTTCCATAATAAATGTGTTTATAACTGGATTGAATAAAATTTACTTTAGTCAGTATTTAAAAAGACTCACAGCTCCTTGAAATGATGGTTCTTTCTGAGTGACTCAATACTTGTAAGTTCTCCAACAAAATTTACTGTAAGATCTAATTTTTGTAAAGATTCACAGCCTGAAAAAAAGACAGAACACATTAATCATCATATTATTATAACACTCATATAAGCCTTCTTCTCACAAAAGTACAGTGTATTTTAAAATCTATGTTTCTTGCACCATTGAAAGAAAAATTACTATAGGCTCCACATCACTGTTTATAAACATTGTTTTTGCTATTAAAATCTGCAATGAGTGAAACAAGAGAATATTTTGTTTCAAGAACCAATGCACTTCTGGTTGGTACATTAATTTTAACAGGTTTCATCAACGTGAGCATCACTATTATCTGTGAATGCTCACACAAGAGAGGAGGGTAGGGAACGTAGCTAAGAAACCACGGGTCTCATTACTAATCAGTCTTGTGTTTCTCTCTTTTGGAATCATGAACTTTTTACCACAAAAGTCTTGCATTTTTAAGCCCAGGGACTTCACTCTTGGCATCTGAAAAATTCTCAGATTTCACTGTTTTCCAGACAGCAAACAGGAGCCCCAGGTTAAAATTTCATTAATATCCTGTCCCACAAAACAATGCAAAACCTCTTCATGAAAAAAAGCGCAAAGACGACTACTAATGCAGGTTACCTTCTAGATTTTCAACTCTTGCTACGTTATTCAGAGCTAAATTTAGATATTCTAACTTCTTTAACCTGCCAACATTTTCTGAAACAAGACCAGAAAGAAGCAGAATTTATTATCATATACTGTTACTGTCTAGTGCAAACAGATAGGGTGGTAGTTTAAACCCAGCTTACCTATTTTTGGTATTAGGTTGCTCTGCAAGTAGAGAATTTTAAGATCTCTACAGAGTTTGTCAAGAAGCTCGATTCTGAGAGACGAGAAAAGAATATTTTTTATCAACAGTATACCATTGAGATACAGTCATATTTCTAACTTAAACAATCCATCAGCTCACTTCTTACCTACCGAAAAAGAGCTCAGGGCTCACCTTTCAATTTCCTGTTGATGAAGAGATATTTCTTCTAATGAAAATATCTCGCAGTTATTGTGTTCAGCTCTTTTTCGTAACAAGTCTTCCGTGACTGTTTTACAAAGAACAAGGTGTGAGTATTGAATAACGAAAACGTAAAGACAATATCGCGTTTCCTGTATGTATTAAACTGAACCGTACTTACTCCGAACCATCCTCTCTCTTGATGTAAACTTTGTGTCAGGCGTTATCCTTTGTAACCAGGCACGTACCCTACCCATCGGTAGTTATAGCAACGATCTAGACTTGATGAAGGGATAAAATCATTTTGACCTTGTGTGAAACTTGTCATCGTTGATCACTTTTATTGGTATACTATCTGCTTTCTAAATCCCATTTTTTCTTAAGAGCGTAGCTTTTCCCAACATTTACTGAACATTTTAGAAAAAATCAGGGACCACGCCCTTGAAAAGATCTGGGTTTGAATTTGTTATGTTAGCAAATTTAGTTATCTTGTAAATCTTAGCTCTTTCTAATTCAACGTCGGCTGTTTTTGAAATTCTGTAGTCTTATTTTTCCATTTTTACACACACAGACACTTACTTTCTGAAAAATCAATTCTACCACTTATTTTATAACACTCTTCTTTAAATACGTTTCATGGACTTTGCATAGAGATTAGCTTTGAGATCAGAATTTTTTTAAGTAAGACAAATTTTTGAAGGGAATAAAGGGAACCGAATTTTTTTTTTTAGAGCAAAATCTCCAGCTCCCTTCTTTTTGACGTCAATGCCCCTCGTCATCCGGGATATTCAATATGGCGGTGACGAGGTAGCCAATGAGAAGCAACGTTGTTTATTCGCTAGTTTCACACTACAGAGCTTGAACTTGTCTCCTCCAAGAGATTGTTTTGGGCAGGATAAGGAATCAAAACGTAGTAGAAGGCCTGGAGAAGAAAGCGATCTTCCCTTTTCCATCGGGAAATCGCCAATTTGCTATCCACACGCATTATGGACTCCGTGGAGGTAAGTAATGAGTGGAGAGATCACGTCAAGCGCGCTGTTGTTGTCGTTACGGCAAGCACTCGCCTCTGTGCAAACATGCTCGCAGTCTAGCGCTTATTTGTTCGCTTTTTCCTCTTCTGAACTGCAGGCAAAGAGGCCAAATATTAATCCTGCGCCTGCTGCTAGTCATCCTGATCCATTTAATCGAAAGTCAGTGCGGAAACCACAGAAAGGGACTCAGAAAAAACAGCAAGGATCCTCCAGGTTTCGGACTAAACCGAATTTTGAAATCCAACCTCTTGGTCCATTGAAAGGTGGGTGATAAAATGACTGTAAAACATAACCGACACTGAGTTTGCTATTCTTACATGCCTGAAATCGATATCTTTTTCCTAAAATGACTGTTCTGTTTACAAACCAGATGCATCGCCAGCCGAGCAACAGGAATTGTTCACAAAAAAACTACAACAGTGTTCTGTAGTCTTCGATTTTATGGATCCAGTCAGTGATCTGAAAGGAAAGGAAATCAAGCGGGCAACTTTAAACGAGCTTGTTGACTATATTGCATCAGCTCGTGGAGTCCTCACTGAGGCTGTTTATCCAAAAATAATCGAAATGGTAAGTGAATGAGCTGTACTAAACGTCATCGTAAAAATGACGATTTTACTAGCTAGAGTACAGAAGGAGTTGGCGGTTTTTACAAAGCTCACATGTACCCCAATTGATTTGCCGGCCAGCTATCCTTTTAGGCCCTTGACTTTAATTTGCAAAGCTCTCAGAGTAGAAATTTTCGACCATTAGTTCATTCATTGGCCTTGACAACTTGAAAAGGAAAGAATCAGCCAAAATGTAGCTTCCGCCGGCCCAATGCTGATTTCAGCAAGGCGTTAAACAAGTTAAAGAACTTAGTTTTCCACAAAAGGCTAAAGGCGAAATTTGCTGTAGAGTTCATTTCATATCAGTCATTGCACGTCAAGTTCTTCGTAGGGAAATGAAGTTTTTAAAATTACAAAACGCTTCCGGACAGTTGCAGTGGAAGGCTTACAAAAATCCACCTTTTCCATACTAAGGGTATTAAATATGTCTGCTTGTGTAAATATTGTTCGGATTATGTTTGCATCGTTCATTGGACCACAGGTACAGCTACAGTTTGCAGGCCATTAGCTCGCAGAATCTTGGCTCCTGCGTCTTTTAATTTCGTTTTAACGTTTTTTGTTCGTCACTCTAGAATGGTGAACCTCTAGAAGTATACATACATGTAAAAATATCAATTAGTAGATATTACGGCGAGTCATGATATCCTCTTGTCAACTTGACGACATGTTTGCTAAATTTGTATCTTTGCTCAGTCTTAAAAATGTAATAATACAAATCCTCCAGTACTTAAAGCACTTCGAGGTTCCTGCATAGATTGTTTTGACCTTTCAGCCATAGTTCCTTTTCATGTAACAGCAAATGAAAGGCCCGTGTGGTTGAAGAGCAGTATTTTCTTTCCGGGTTTAAAATTGCTGCACCCCCGTTTGCCTCGTGTTGTTTAGACTTTGTTCTTGTGTTAAACGTTTTTCTATAAATTGCATGTCTTATTCAAGATAAAGAGTATATGTGCTTCCATTTTTAAATCTGACTGTAATTACTTCTGAGGTGAGAAAAAATATGTCCATTGAGACTTGCGTCGATTCATAATGAGTTGGAAACGGTTTTGTTTACAGTTGTATGTGAAAGCTTTTTAGATCATGCTTCCATTAATATCAGTAACAGATGTCCTGAAAGATACAGGTACATTTCCCAGAACAAACACTTTAGAATGCAAGATCAAGGACAAAAAAGTATCATAACTTTTGTGCAGCTTAAACCCAGAAAATTATATGATTATGGGTTATTACTGGTATTTGTCAACAAATTAATGTTATTTCTAGGTTAGCGATGCCTATGATATATCATTCCATTGATTACAACAAATTAGAGTAAACTAAATTTTTCACTTGTTGTAGGTACTATACCTTTTGGCATTGTTGTTGATAAAGAGTGAAAAAGTGGACTAACCAGGATGATGATTCTGTTATTATATTAATATTATTTTCATCAATGTCCTTATATGTTTAACCATAGCTTCAAACTTCTGACTTGCTGACAGTTTTCACAAAGGATGTGAAGTATATGAAATAATTCATATTTGAACTGCGGTTGTAGATGAAAGTGAAGAATGATCATCGCAGTAAATTTTCCAATTTAAGCAATTGGAAAGAAGAAGCCTGAAAAAAAATCAGGGCTTCAACGGGATTCGAACTCGTGACCTCCGCGTTGCCGTCACAAAGTGGTGAAGATCCACTTTTTCCTTTTTCTCATTTCAAAGGGGACAGACAGCAAATTGTTGTTGCTCATAATATCTATAAGTTGTTTCTGTTCATCAGTCTGATATGTTTAGGGAGGTATGGACACCTCCAACCCTCCCCCAGGATCCTATATCCTCCACTGTTTCAGGTGAATGAGTATGAGTATAATCTATGCGTGATTTAACCATTTAGATTTCCAAAAAATTTCATCTCATAGTTATCAAATTTCATTAGGATGTTATTTGCCATGGAACAGATCTCAACCATAAACAGTCGAACCACCTCATTTTTACAGAGACTTTCTATTCATCAAGTCCTTAAGGGTTGATTTCCACTGTCGCATACGCATAATTGATTTACATGTTAAAACAACATCTTGTTAGTACATGTTGAGATGATTAAATATATTATTAAATGATCAACAAACAAAAACATTTATATTTATAGGTAGTGGAGCCAAGGAGTGTGTTGTCATTTGTGCGCTAAGCTGCACTATGGCATGTATTCTGCAAAAAAATCATTGTTCTCAATAAGTAGTTTTCTGTCTTAGTGTTCATTGCAAAACTTGCTATATGTCACTCTGAACGGACTTTTTGCATTGCTCTTAGTATGAAGGTAGCAAACTATAAAAACTGTTAGGCAAAAAAATAAGGTCACGTAACGTTGATGCAAACTCTTTCTAGCATGCGCTAGCTTTAAACAAAGCCAGGCGTGTAATATGCTTATCATGATTACTCAGAGTAAGTCAATCTTGGCCATTTTGAATCTTGGTCAAATTTTACTTTGTAAAACTGTAATTGCCCTTTGTAGCACTTTGTTTACATCACAATACAAGATGTGTTCATAACACTAGCGCTACAGTATCACACATCAGTGGTTCCATATTAGGAAGTAAATCTTGATTTGTTCTCAAAAAAAACCCAGCATTGGAACAGAGTTATACATTTCAGGGTTAAATGCTTCTGCTTCTTAAGATTTTACTAGAAGACTTTTGAATTTTCTTGTGTAATTTTCTTTGCCCACTATAAAGAGTGAAAGAGCGAAATACACTGAGTATTCTTTGTCTTTCAGGTTGATGCAAACATTTTTCGAACCTTACCTCCATCTGACAACCCAGACTTTGACCCGGAGGAAGATGATCCAACCTTGGAAGCCTCCTGGCCACACTTACAGGTCTGCTACCTTAAAACTTGCTTTCATAGCATTTTGGTCATACAAGTGGAGATTCTTAATATTTCTTTATTGGTATAAACTAGTAGTTTTCATTGGAAAGTAAACTGCTGTGAATAAAGCATGTGACTATTCTCTTTGAAACACTTTAAAATTGGAACTCATCCTTGATGATTGTTGCTGATTTTGTGGTAAATGTTTCAACATACTGATTTAAAACGAATTTTTACTTTTACAAACTTCGTGGTGTTTGAATCGATCAATGAAATATGAGCGCAACCTATACATTAGGGTTTGTTTACATTTCGTTGCAGGTTTTAGATGATACTATAAGCCTTAAAAGTTACTGCCAAATTCCACAAAAAAGCACTCTCTTTTACGTTCTTCATTTAAGATATTGATTGTAACAAAGTTTAAGGCAAAATTAAGAGCGATCATTTCCTTTAACAATGCTATAACTACATATTTAATCGCCAAACCTGAACAGTGATCTAATCTGTCTCTTGATGTAGCCCCCTAAAATAATATTGTTCTAATGTAAAGTTTGTATGTTGCATATTCAGCGTGCAGTGATTTTGTTGCCTCTGTGTCCTGCGTCCCTGGTGAAGAGAAAACTCCAAAGACGCAGAATAATTCATGGCATGTGTCCTGTAGGACGCAAAGATCAATCAGTCAATCTAAACATATTTGTAGAAATATCCCATTTGTGTAATTTATTTGGCAGTTATTATGGCTGTTGTTTAACAATACATATTTCTTTTAGCATTTGTTGTGCTATAAAATAGAAGAACTGTATTTTAATTTCAGTGTTCTGTAATACAGAGTTTTGGAGTCTGTCTTCAGATTAACTACCTGGTTATAAAAGACCAAGGGACTCACTGTTTTTTTTTTAACTGGGACTCATGATTTTTCGCAAGAAGAGTCCCAAGACTCACCATAACTCTTTGTCACAAAATCACTAAGTTTGTAGGAGTAACCCGCAGGTCAAAGTTCATATGCATTTCATAACATTCCTAAATGACTATCTCTTACTTTCCTTTGACAGATTGTTTATGAATTCTTCCTTCGGTTTTTGGAGTCGGCAGAGTTTCAACCCACCATTGCCAAAAAACACATAGATCAGAAATTTGTCTTACAGGTAAAGTCAGTTTCCTATTGCTATTTGAACAAGTTGATCTTTCGCAAATACAAGGAACTTCAAGTTCTCACTGCGCACATTGTGTTAAAAGAAACCTAAATTTCAGATGCCTTGATTTTTTTCAGAGGCACCAAAATGACTGCATTTGATTATTATTTTCACCCGTAATGAATCGAAAAAGGCTCAGTTCAAACATTACAGTTCACATTTGCTGAATCTACTGCAAATGAGCAAGAACAATAGATTTTCCGTATTAGCATTGAACACAGCACATTTTTGGGCCTAACTGTGAATTGTAACATGTCCTACCAAACATTTCTGGGATCCTTAAAAGACTATTCTCCCCACCTCCTCCTCCTCCCCCCCCAAAAGATAATGCTCTTCGAAATAATACTTAGTGCAATAGCTGTAAAGATTTTACCCAAAAATGGACATGAATCTCCCTTTAGAGAGATTTACATGTACAATACCATGATAAACCCAAGTGAAAGTCCCCCTTAATTAGCCAGCTGGTACTTAAGTTAAAGTTGGAAGGTCATTCCACAATTTTCCCATCAATTTAAGGTTATTCTGTGTTGATAACCGGGCAGGGGGGGCTCCCATATAAAAGTGACGGGGATGATCGTCGGAAAAGTAAAATTAAACCCCTAAGGGAGACCATACTAAAAGCTCCTGGTGTGACGATATTTTTTTTCTTTATACACGGCCCTAAGCGATACCTGAATGGGCAAATTCAGTGACTTTCTGTCTCAAACACCCCAAGTGTGACCAAAATCTGCAATTTACGTGTACACTCCCAAGCGAGACGACGAGCATCTCTGTCACTTTTACATGGGACGTGGGATTCCCCCCTCCCCGAAGGTTTATACTGACTTGCATCATTCACAATGTTGTCATTTCAGCTTCTTGAGCTGTTTGATAGTGAAGATCCTCGTGAAAGAGATTTTCTCAAGACAGTGCTTCATAGGATTTATGGGAAGTTCCTTGGACTTAGGGCATATATTCGAAAACACATCAATCACATATTTCTAAAGTATGTCTGCTAGTTTTTACTTGTTACTTCATACGAAAGTAAACACTATCTTTGCGTGAACAACCCAAGCGGTTGTTCACTTTCATATCTTTATTCGCAGCCCAAAATTTGATTCATTTCATATATTTCAATTATTTTTTACATCATTGAGACATTTTTAAGGCAACAGCAGCACAATATTTTAAATTAAGGGTTTAAGGGTTTTTGTGGTGTTAGTTACTTTGCATTTTGCTGAATCGCCTCCCGTGCAATGTGATAAGGTATTACTGAGCAGGCTGAATATGAATTTGACTTGATTGTCAACCAGATGTGTCCCCAGTATTCCTATTATCACCATTTCCTGGGTCCGGGTTTCTGGGCAGCACTAAGCACTTGTAGAGATTGAGGGAAAAGATTTGTATGGCCTATCATCATTTAACAAACGTGAACATAATTTGAAAACTCTTACTATAATCAATTCCATACTAGTAGTCCAGTAGAAAGGTCTCCTCTGGTTTATATCTGACGGCTGTTATGACTATTATTATAACTACAATTTGAATTGAAAGTTTGTATGTTAACTACATGGCCACTAACAAAACAGCAAATAGTTATGTTGTCAATGTGCATTGTACAATGTAGGTTTGTCTATGAGACAGAACACTTTAATGGAGTTGGTGAACTGCTTGAAATCTTAGGAAGGTAAGAGGAATTTGATGACTAAAGTAGGAAAGAAAAAGAGTTGATTTTTATCTTTTATACTATTGGATCTTTTTGTTTCAAATTTCATAATTTGTAATTTTCTGTCTCCATATAGTTTTTCTGTGATAAATTCTTCGCAATATCCTTTACATTTCCATAACATTCCTCATAAAACTCAGTGTGCTTCATCTGATTATGCGGGTCTTGTGTTGATAATCTCGTAATACACAGACTCATACCCAGTGCTCCATGATGTAAAAGCTGGCAGTGATTCACATATTCGCCTTAAACCATTGATCATGAAGTCTGTACAAAATGGTGTTCCCCTCATTAATGTGCACAATTTCTTAATGTCAGGACTTCAGGGGGGAAAGCAGTGCTCCCCTCCTCTCCAATCCAATGCATTAGGTTCCAGTACACATTTCATAGTGTTTCGTATATGAATGATCTTATCAATTTATGCTGTATTATATGCTCGGTATTTAGTCCCTTCGTTATCCACATGGATCAGATAAATAATGCAAAGGCAACACAAATGCAAATGTTGGCACATCTAAGTGGTTGGTCTGCCTTGCACAGCCCTTCAAGCTGTGACCATTATTTTAGGTTGCCATAGCCAGTAAAAAAAATTTTGGCGACTAAAATTTCAGCTTAACGTTAACTGGCCAATAATTGACAACCTGTTTCTAGTAGTATAAAAAAATTAGCTAAATTGAGATAAACATTTTTGTGAAGTAGTGATGGGTTCTGTTTTCTTTTTGATAATTCATCTCTTTCCCACATAAATCCATGAAATGTCACATGTACATCCAAAGTCAACCGTGATAGTTGTGCATCCAGTTCCATTTCTTCTTTGTATTATTAACTGATAGTTATTTTTTATCCTGGCCACCAGTATTTTATGTCTCTTCACTATCCAAAAGGCAACTTAGAAAAAAGTTGAGCTTAGAGCACTGTTGTGGGACATGTGCTGCCCATTAGAAACTAAAGTTGACCTTCCATCTCTCAACAGCCACATTCAAGTGTCTAACTGAAAAGCAATTTTTTTTTTCTTTTTCAGCATCATCAATGGCTTTGCTCTTCCATTGAAGTCTGAACACAAGCTGTTTTTAAACCGAGTCTTAATACCTCTTCACAAAGTGAAGTGCTTGGGCCTTTATCATGCACAGGTGAGAACAGGAATCATTAAAACCTTTCTCGCCAAAAAATTACTTTAAAACCTGTGATCAAAAACTACTCTTTCTGGTACATTCTCACATAGAACAGTCATATTCAACATGTTTAACTTCAGCTCCTGTCTCCTTATTTTAGTTAGTGCTGAAAATGCCTGAAAATTTTAGGTCCCAAAAGGATCATAACCCATGGGGAAAATGCTCTTTGGCAGTTTGTGTTATGTTTTTTATGATAAATTAATATAATTTGTGAAGAAATAGGACTAGAAATAATTGTAAGTGAAGTCTCTGCCAGAAAATGACTCGAGAATAGTAAGGACCATTGATTCTAGGAGCCTGATTCTAAGTGAGATGTTCATCTCTTAGAAGTACCCTTGAAGAGAGTTAATTGTATACATCAATCATTTCAAGCTACTTATGAAAATCAAAATCATTTTGTTGTTTTGTAGTTGGCATACTGTGTTGTCCAATTCTTGGAAAAGGATGCAACACTAACAGAACAAGTAAGTTGCAAGCCCCTTGTCAGGAAATTAAAAATTTTGTCTGTGAATTTGCCATAACTTTTATCGTAAGGAAAAAAAAGTAAAGGAATTATTTTTGCTGTTAGTTGTTACTTAGTAGTTGTAATTTGCCTTAAACTGGATTGGCCATAAGATGTTCTACATCCCACAACATTCACCCACCTGAGCTTATGGGTGCCCTGCCAGAAGCACCAAATTTGTAGGTGTAGTTGTAGCATTTCTGTCTGGGGCCAAAGACTTTAAAATTCAACTGCAACTCCTGTTATTTGAGATTTTGGCTCATCTTCCTCCCCATTATATGTTCAACAGATAGCATGTTTATTGATATGCCAAATCATTCTTTTTGTAGGTTGTTTTAGGCTTACTTAAATACTGGCCAAAAACAAGCAGTCAAAAAGAGGTATGTGAATATGTACATTCGTGGCAAAATGGCTATCAGCCCTGTGTTGGTTTGGCGTCTTACAACTCCAGACAGTATTCAGGGTGTCATTAAGGTCCCATCAACACATGTCTGCTTATTTTTAGGAGATTTTTCCTCTGTATTAGCCTTCCATCCATACGTAAATGGTGTTTTGGGGCACCAAAAATGGTCCCCAGAGTAAATATTTCTAAAACTCTGGCTTATTGTTTTCCTGTGGATAGATGAAAATGAAGGTTTTCGAATAGGATAATGTTATACATCACACAGCACATGCCCTATATATCATATTTCCATTGTTTTAGCATTTTCGTGTGAACTGGTTATTTGTAGAGGAGTATTTTGAAATCTCCATTTTGAAATTAAATATCCGGATACGTGTGCACAGGGCCTAGGTTTTGAAGCAGCAGTTAAGTAGCAAATGAATATTCACCTGTAACATCTCACAAAAATTCATATTTTTTGCTTGATTTGGATATAATTATGTTGTATCCCCTGGTGAAGGAAAGACTCTCACCCGTTTTTGAACTCTCAGTTTAACCTGTACTTTAAGACTTCTCAGTTAGATCTGTACACTGAAGTTCACAAAACTTTGACTATGAGTCAAAAAAACGGTATGGCGTTATGTACCACTAGTAAGTTTTCCATGCCTTGTGGTTGTATCTGTCCTACTTATACTTTAAAATGTTCTGGAGGGAGTTAATTAGCACTTCTGTAACACTATAACGAATGCAAAACATTGCTTTTATCACCCGTAATATCAAGGAAGCTCAGGTGTAACGGGTGTTATAGCAGGTTATGACCCTTATTAGAGAGTTTAAGATTCATGTATACAGTAAATGTCAGATTCAAGTTGAGAATTTCTCAAAATGGAAAATGAGCAATTAAAACAGCTCAGCAAATTTGTATGGATAAAAATTGCAAAATTGCGTGAAAGTACTAATTGTGTAGAAATAAAGAAGAGTAGGCGACAAGCAAAGGATAAACTTGGTCACGTGGTACAAATTCTCGTTTGACATAGATAAGATGCTTAACCTCTCTAATAACAGCTCTGGTACTGTACTAATTTTGCTGGGAACAAACCCTACCGCCACAACAGAATTGTGTTTGTATTAATTAATAAGGAACTTTAAATATTGTTGTGTTATTATTGTTTATATATGGATCCATTATGTTTGACATCATCATTGCCCCACGGGAACTCAGTGCCACTAAAACACTTATAACAGAAAGACTATAAGAATTTCTCTTTGTCACAAAATTGCAGGTGATGTTCCTAGGTGAAATAGAAGAAATATTAGATGTTATAGACCCTACCCAGTTTCAAAAAGTTATGGAACCATTGTTTAAAAATATTGCAAGATGTGTATCTAGCCCCCACTTTCAGGTGAGTTTTGGTTATTAATTTTTTATGTGAACTTTGACTAAACAAAAAAAGGAAGGAATTTTGTCTTAACCTGCTAATACAGCTGCGTCTCCTCACTCTTTGCCGCTAGGGACATTTCTGCAAAAAATACCCAGCAGCTAGTGGGAGTGAGGAGAGGCGGCTGTATTTGCAGGCTAACCTAGACTTTGGGCCATCTATTCGGTGACCAAGTGAATTGGAACCATTTGCCCCCTTTTTTCACTTTTTTTTTTGTGCACTCATTGTACTGACAATTTCTTGTGCTCCTTTCAGTTTGCATTGAGAAAGTAAACAGGTTATGAAAAGTCTCTCTGGTGTAGAGCTATTTGGAAGTGCTCACTTAAACCTGTTTACATTTCTGGCAAGGCATTCAGCATTGCATTACAATAATTGATGGAAACGAGCTTGTGGCCTGCTGATTTGTATTGGAATATTGGATGCAACAATATCATTTAATCCTCTGAGAAGTAATATTATTGAAAAAAACATTATCTTGAAGAACTATTTTTTTCAACGAACTTTCCTTATTTTTAAGTCAAGTTTCCTGAATGTTTTGTATCTACCTATTTATTAATTACCGTTAATATTACTTATTTATTTATTATTTTTCTGTCTGGCCAGGTCGCGGAAAGAGCGCTTTACTTTTGGAACAACGAGTACATTATGAGTTTGATTGAAGAAAACTCCAACGTTATCTTACCAATCATGTTTTCCAGTTTATATAGGATATCCAAGGATCACTGGAACCAGTAAGTACCGTTTCCTAGCTTTTCACTCACTCTTTCCTCGGTTGCGGGCCAGGGGTTTTTGCTTCTATTGAGTGATATATTGTATCTTGCAGGGATGGGTACCCTCTGTAACCTGCAACCAGGATCCTTGGTGGGAAAAAATGGCAAATAACTTGGTTCGCGAGCCGAGCAAAGGACTCATGGGAGGTGGGGAGCGCGGAGAGGGGGGCTGTCCCAATCCTTCGCTCGTCGTACCTCTTTCTTCGCGCTCGCCCCGTTATCGCCCACCCCCCCCCTTCGCAACTAAGGAGCTTGGTGCCAAGTTATACACCTGTTGCAGGCCCCTCTCTTAATTAGTTACAACCAATCACAGTGGTCGAAAATCTCGAAATAAACCAATCAAAGCGAAAGTTAGCCTGCCTAGCTGGCGAGATTAGTGGGCGAGTGCAATTATTGTTTTGCGCGCCGCCAAGAAAGTAACCCCCATGGCATATATCCCATCCTGCCAGCAGTCCCGCCAGCTACGCAGGCTAAACAAAAGTACGACGTGACCTGTTGGAGAAACAGCAAAACGTGTAATTGGTGAACTAAAAGCGCGGGGGAAAATGTCGAGCAGATGGAAGTAGTGAAAACACGAGAAAACATTTTTAGGTGGAAAGTTAAGAAAGGTTGGCTTGTCGATATTTGCCTGGCGGGGTATGTTATTAGCCAAGGTGTAATTGCAGCATCTGATAATATTGAAGTGTTTGAGGTAAGAATTGAAGCGAGCTAAGAAATTTCCTGCATTGAACAGTTCGCTTATATTGCGTTAACAAAGAGGTCCTTCTGTTAACTTTGATGTATATCATGTTTCTGCAGTCGCGGGTTGAGTCCATTAAAGTTAATCTTCGTAGGCGTTAAGCCTTCTGTTTTTGTTAACTTAATGGCGGTTTGTCAGGCTATCCTTTTTTATTTGACTTGTTTTGTTGGATTAACAGCAGGCATTGGGTTTTGTTGCTTTTATATGCTATACATGTCACGGCATTATAGAAAACTCTGAAATTTGTGATACATTTCATGAGATACAGTGTTAATAGCACCAAAGATGATTTTAGGAATGTGCTGGAAAACATATCGACTGGCACGCTAAAGAGGACGTAACCCTTGTAAACTTTATCAAATCGATAATTGGCGAAATTTGCTTGCCAGGGGTGTGTAAAGAAATTTCATTTAGGCGTGTGGGTGTGAGGTTTTAAGAAAGCCTGTTTCCCTCAACCTTGGAATAGGGTAAAATCGAGTCAATGAAATAATCGTTGTCGGTGGTAAAATGCAATTCAAGGAGTAATATCTGATTGATCGTCTTCAGGACCAGGAGAAGGGCAATTTTTATGAGTGGGAAAACAAAAACAACGCGGCAAACGTCCAGAACGACGCCTTAATAACAATTTCATATTTCGAGGAGTTCTCGACATTTTTCTGCTAATCGAACGCTTTTTTACTGCCAGGGTTCACTGCATGGCGAATCCCGACAAATTGACTGGGATATGTAAGACCACCCATATACATCGCTCTTTGCTTGGGCTTTGTTAAGAAGATTAATCAGGATCTTTGTTACCTTAGAGAACCCGAGATCTTAGCTCTAATAAATGAGGCTTCAGTGTACGAAATCTTCAAACCTTTTAAGGATAGTCAGGATTATTTTATCAAATCAGATTTTCACTCATTTCTGATCGTTTTGCAGAACCATCGTGGCGCTTGTGTATAACGTCTTGAAGACCTTCATGGAAATGAATTCAAAACTCTTTGATGAGCTAACATCGTCATACAAAGCCGATAGACAAAAGTAAGTTAGTTGTTCCTTTTTGGAACTGTTCTTCGTCGGCTCTTTCTTGTTTATGTATCCCCTTTTGCAGTATTCATAGTGTGAGGTGGTGTACTTTGATCTAATCTACTTAATTTCCCGGGCTTAATTTGAAGTCAGATCATCTTCTTTCCTTACATAATAACACTGACCTCGAGACACTTTATCCAGTCCAAAGACCCACAAGCCAGAACCAGTTTTTACAATTTGATGTACAGTAGCACAGGTGGAGAGATGCTGAACATTCATTTCCAGGCACGTAGGAGGGTTTCACGTACCATGGAGCTGTTTAACAGCCTTTTCTTTAACCCTACTTGTACACACCTAGTCGTTGTGGTCGAGTGATAACGAAATAAAACTGTGTCTTTGGTTTGCGAGTGAAAACAACGTTTCCATGGAACCTTGTCAAACACTGTTAACTCAGTGGAAAACCCTCGCCAACCCATATCTGTTACTCGTGACTCATTTGCGCGTTCCATTCATTCCGAGATTCCATGCTCAAATCTTTCTTGCTGACTCTGCTAGTGTTTAAAGACAGGCGTTTACCTTCTGTCGACTTGCAGTAATTGCCCTTCGTTTTTAACACTGAAATTTGTGGACTTTTTTGCAGGGAAAAGAAAAAAGAAAAAGAAAGGGAAGAACTGTGGAAACGACTCGACAAGTTGGAAATCGAATCAAGGAATAACTCAACCACTTCAGCGTCGACTGTTGCAGGCAATCCATCCTCCAGTGCCGGGAGCTCGGGGACGTCAAAGAGCTGAATGCGCGACTGTTGTGTTTTCCTGATCTTCGAACATTTTGATTAGCGTGACAGTGTTCATAACATGACATTGTTACCGATAATATACCGTCAGAAATTATTATTGATTTCCAGTTTGAGGAAAGGTGAACTTCAGCTGACAACACCCTTGTGCGGCGACATGCTCGAGGAATGTATTAATTTAAGGTGTCGTACATTGTTCACATCCCGAGTTCTAACTCTACCTTAGGTTACTAGCAGCGTCTGGAGAAAGAGTGGCAAGAGTAACTTTGCGAGTCATTTATGGTAGTTTGCTTAGAGGTCTGTGAAGCGCCTTGAGCAATGTACACTTAGTAATATCGCGCCAGTGGCCTCTCTACGTAGCATCAAAAGTGCCGTGACATTCTCTTTCCTGTGTGTGTATCGACACTGGCGCTTAGAGATCCCGCATTCCTTATACTCGCTTCTGAAGAAGTTCATTCCCTCTAGGGCTGGATTAACCTGGATTAGTCTTTCCTCACTCCTGGCCGCTATGGATGTTTCAGACTTCCCTTGCGGCGAAGAGCGAGGAAAGACGGCTGTATTCGCAGGCTAGGTCCGCTTGCACAGGCGATTTTATCGTGCGATTTCATTTGTCGCTTCAAGCCCGCTCAAATTTTGATGCGATTTAATTCTGCGCGAGGGTTACCAGTAACAATCCATAGCTAATAATTGTTTACATTAAGTGCGCCTTACCGTCACCGCTGCATAAAGATGTGAAAAACGACATGAAATCACGCGAAAAATCGTCTGTGGGGCTTTTACAGGCAAACTTTCTTGTAATTATTCTAGTTATGTAGATAGACCTTTTCTGTCCTTTCTGGAGACCTCAGCTCTAAAACCAATGTTGAAAATATTGAGCATGTTTTATTTTATTTCGAAGCCTTATTTTCATTTTAAAAGTGAGGGTTAGGGGTAAGTCCCGGTATTATATTGTTGAGAGAAACTAATGTAATTTGAGCTTAAAGCATACTCAATGCGAGAAAGTCGCTTACTCGGGTAATGTAAACCTAATTCTAATTGGTAGAGATAATACCTCCCTGCGTTCTGATTGATTAAAGTAAGTCTTGCGCGTTTGTTTGCACCAATCCCAACAAATTTTCTGAGAATGTTCATTTACTTTGCGGACAGAACTCGAAAATTAGAGAGGTAAAAATGATCTCGCCTCGATCATGATGAGATACCGAAGAAGACCTTACATTGCATCCAATTGCGCCTTTTGTTTTGTTTGTTTTTTCTTTGTTCGTTTTTTTTTAGCAGGAATCAAACTAGGTGCTGTTGAAAGCTGGATTGCTAAAACGGAGTTAAAACACCATTTGTTGTAATATATTAAGACAGGAAGAAAAAGAAGACAAGATAAGATGTACTGTTTTTCAGTTGAGGTTTCCCGGAAAATTTTGCTTTCCATTTTCTCCATCAATTTTCGTGTATCTATAAAAATTTTTACTTTGAGGTCGCTTTACTGAACTCTTTCAGTCTCTTTAAGGGACACGTGATTAACTGAGTTGAAGGTATTTTTCACGTAACGAGGGAAAGAACAATAAACAGTACGAGATTCACTGCGTCTCTCCCATTCTTGGGAAATATCACTGAAAAGACTGGGGAAATCTTATCTCTTTACGAAAATCAATTTTTAGGTTGCCTCTTGGTTGGGTGAAGGTAATGTCAAATCCATTTTAATTATCTTGAAGATATTTGCTCTCTGTCCGATGTAGTCTGAAATGACAGGCGTCACCAACCCCTAACCAGTTGGGGGTGCAGAGGAGAGAGACTCTCCGCGACCCCACGAGTTAGGCGGTGGAGACGGCAGTGACATTTCAGACTATGTCAAATTCCTTATTATTTTCTTCTTTTATGTTAATGGGATCGAAAACGAAGAAAAGAATCACAGGCCGCTTCCTTTCAGATTCGTTCTCTTTCGGTTTTTTCCATCGGCTTTTGTCCTTTTTTGCTGGCCTAGAAAACTGACCTCTCTATTCTTTGCGCCTATTCGTTTGTGTCACGAAGTACAAGCGAATTTGCATCCGAGCGAGAAGGCCTGGGAAAACAACGTACAATTTGCAACAAGAAAATATGATGCGAGTGTAGAAGGCCATATGCAAAGCATGGTTTCTCAGCTATGAATGTTCCGCTCATTCGCTAATGATGTGGCACTGCCCTCCCGAGGTGCCTGGTTGACGGTTGTTGAACCAGGCGAAAGCCCTCAGAGACAAAACAGAGATTAAGCGTCGCGTTTGGCAAAGGTGAATTTGTACCACGTGACCAAGTTTTCCATCTTCTCGTCGTTTACTGTTCTTTATAACTACACGAAAATCGGTAGTTTCACGCCAATTCTATCCATAAGAATTGTTTTAAGCTGTTTTTATCTGCTCATTACTCAATTTGGAAATTTGTCAGCTTGAATCTCACGTTTGCCGTAAACGCGATGCTGTAGCGACGTCGCAAGCGCTGGCGAAAATTAAATAAGACGAGCGCGGATCTGGGGAAGAAGCTGGTGGCATCCTCCTCTCTCCCCATCCCCCGCGCGTCAGTTTTCACGTTTCCTATCGTATCTGTAGCTTAAAAAAGAACGTGGGTCAAATCTGATCAAAGATATTTTATTACTTGTCACAAGGGAGGATTGTTTTAAAGTACAGTTCCGTCATGTACTGCGCCAGGAGCCGTTTAATCGGCTCCCCTGACTGCGCGTATAACGAAACGACATGGGTCTACGAAGAGGAAAAACCAACGTGTGACGGTTGAAATTTGTAGGTTTCAACCGCGTGCACAAGTTGAGCCTCCTGGATCTCCCCCGGCGAACACTCGGAAACTAGTCCCGAAAGGCTGAATCCTGTCTGGTAATTTCGTCTTTCCAGCTTTCATTTGATTTATTTTCCATTTCTTATAACTTTTTGTGTTTAGTACCCTAGGTAACCTTGGTTTGTAGTTTTTCACATGTAACTAGCTAGTTCTTATTTCCTTGCTCAATTCCTTCGCCCTTCCTGGCTACGCTCGCTTTTTGCACAAGTGGTATTTAGGTCATTCTTCCCTCTATACAGAGTCAAAGAGGTAAAAAAGGAAGCGCGCGCTTTCCCGTCAAGTTTGAAGACTTGTTTGTTTTCAAATGTTCAAATCAAAGCGGGGAATGGCTGAATTCTACAAGTAAAAACTCGCGTATCCTCTGGAATAGGAAGGTGGCGCGGACTTCAATCTCACGCTCTTTTCCTTCTAGAGAAACTAAACCTTTTCGTTTTACTTCTGTGGAGTAAAGCTGGCATTTACTTAGAGTGCGTACAAAATAAGGATATTTTTCCCGCTCCGTTTCTAGCCGTTCGTGCAACCTTAAAACTTTCATTCTCCTCGCTCTATCCTCGACAATTTAACTAATTTAAGCATGTAAATTTTTTTTCTCCTTCGATTGTTGCAAGTGATTTTCGCGCTCGTTTTGCGAGGCCTGCAAACCAGAGAACAAAAAATGGCTTTCTGAACATCCGTTGAGGCAAGAGAGGATAAAGCTCTCTTGCCGGTTGAGGGTGTTGTAGTGCTTGCATTTTATTTATTTATTATTAACTTTTCTTATCTTTCAAATTGTTTTAGCAGCATTACTTGACGCATATGTTAGGAGATCGCAACATTCAGGCTACGGAGACATTGCTTGCGGGGTCGGCTAAATTGAGAAACGAGAAGGTCTGGTAAGGAGAGTCTAGCGACAGCGAGCCTTCTGTCCCACCCGTGTAAACCTGGCAAATCCAAAGAACAACGACCCCGTATCTAATACCGGTACTACTATCTACGCTTCACTGCACTGTGTCGACTATGCAATCACTTGTTGGATTTGGCGCCGTGTGAAGCTTATCGATGCTATATTAAGTGCACGGAAGAAGGATCCGACGCAACGCTGTGGCTGCAAAGAGCCAAAAGTGACGTCCCCATAGACTTGTACACTGTTTATTCGCCTGTTGTGAGGTATGTATGAACCTCTAATTTTAACAGTTTAGAAAACTACGACCAATTCGTGTCATTGCGTGTGGGTTTCTGAGCAAGACCAAGCCGCAGTGGCTGATATCTCAATAGAGTCAATCGAAGCAAATTAAAACTTTTCCGAGTGAGCTAGTTGCAGTTTAGAGGATTCTTGTTCAAATTCACGATGTTGTATTTTTCGGACTTACTTGTCCTCTGGAATGGGCCGGGCAGGTTCCTATTGTTTCACTATTGCAAAACCACTGCTTTCGTGAATCTGTCGTGGTCTGCGGAGTGTTTTAGTATCACATTTTCCAGCCAGCGAACTTTTGCAAAGCAAAGTTATTACATAATTCTGTTAGCCGTTTCTGATATTGGGGTTTTATTTCATCAGCTAACCTCTCGGAAAATCAGTCAAAGGCCCTGGCAGCTTATTGTAAGATTCTTTCTTGTCTGCAAATTGTTAATTATTCAACGTTTCTTGGGAGCTATCAAACCCAGTTGAACTCAAGAAGGTCATTTCGTGATTGATTCGGAGAGGAAACAAATGAGACATTAAAACAGACAATATTCAGTGCGTTAATTACTTGAAAAATCAGTGTTATAGTACACAACAGTGGAAAATATATTGATGTTTTGTCTGCTCCACCGCATAAAACTTTTGATGTAGCAAATCTGGTGACCCTTCTTCAGTACTCTCTCTTAAAAAGTGCACGAATTTGACTTGTACACGCATTTCTCTTCAGGCTGACGCCATGTAAAATATGAGCTAATATAACCCGTAGGTCTTATACGGAACATTTGGGAGTGACCCACGAATTCTATCTAACAGATGATATAAGACAAGATCTGAAATACGTCAGCAGAACTGAGTGATTAAGACAGCTTAACTGGTCGGATTATATGTAACAATACTGTAATAGGGGGGAGGTGCGCAAATGTCTTAATCATTCTATCTTGTCTCAATTCATAACCAAAAGAAAAGAAACACGGCTGACTTGGCCTTAAAAGTTCTGAATCTCACAGCTAAAGAAGTGAAATGCCAATTTTAGGAAGTTCCTCAGTGTGTCGCTAGCACTCAGAATTAGGCCCTTGCTGAAACTTCGTGGCTGACCATATTTAGCCGTTTCTTCAGACTGACTGTGTTGACACAAAAAAACTTTATAAACGATAACCTTGTGTAAGAGGCAGATAACAAATACTATCTTGCCAGATGTTTCGCAATGATACAACCGCACTGTTTCAATATTTACTGGTATTATTTGCTCTAGAAAAGCTGGTTAGATCTACGCTTTCGACGGTCAAAGATGCAAAATTTACGCAATAGCAAATGCAGCTTCAAAGATCCACCTTTCGCATTTAAATCTCTGATTGAGGCCAAAAGGTGCAGCAAACTAAAACATTCAAGTCAGATGATTCAGCTGTGCTTTTGGCTGCCCGCGTTCCACGTGAACCAGTGATCACGCGGGTACCATGAAACTAAAATCGAAACCAAAGCAAGTCGGGTCTCCAACCAGCAAAATTAGTTCACACGCGGATCAGCATCATGTACTTATACCGACTTCCTTTCTGCAAAGACTAGAGTTCTTAAATAAAGGTAACATTCCCGTTTTAGCAGTTGCCACTTTCAACGTTGGATGTTGCAATTTTTTTCCAGAACTATATTTATCAATTGCTCTAATCAATTATTTAAAGAAGCTTAAAGCAGTCTTAGCAAACTAGCTGGATCGGTCGCTCAAAATCGGATCAGCCCGCCTTTTTGATTTGCAAGTTTTTATCCTACCAAGATTTTAGGAGTCCGAGCGCTCCTGAAAATTTGTTTAAAAACTTTCTGCCACAAACTGTGCATTTTTCAAACCAAGATGCAGGAAAAATTGTATGAATTGTGTTTCTGGGAACGCGATCATGTCACAAAAAAAGTAAAAGACAAAGTGCAGCCAGGCTAAAACTTGTTGCAGGATTAAATCTTGCTAAAGAAATTTCAATCTTCCAATTTAATATAATGATAGATCATTTTATCAGGTTTTTTGAATAAAACCACTTGAAAAATACCGGTCCTTCATAGACGAGGAGGGCTCCCGGGGATTCGAGGATTTGTCTACTTGGAAGAGAAATCGACGAAAATCCAATTTGTTTGGCGGAAAAGGTCCGATTTACGGTCAAACGATATGTATAGAATATGGGTTTATTTGAGCTACTAAGAGATATTAAAATAAAATAAGGCTTTTAGCTGTCCACCTCCCGGTAAAAGAACATGCAGGACCTGCTTTGCTTTACTGGTGTTCAGTTACAAAAGATTTACGGGATTAAACTTTACCCGGTAGTGTGTATGTAAAATTCATGACGCCGGGATCTCTTCAGAGCACCTTTCCACATTCGAGCAGCATTTTTCTTTCTTTTTCCACATCGGAGTGGATTTCGAGACGTACGAAATATAGGAAAAAACTCGGCGTTATCTGCCCATCCTGCAGCTGAAAGCCAGGTGTGCCCTCTATTGTTTTCCCACCGTTCGCGAAGATTTTGAATGGTAAGCAGTGCAATTTTAACCAATATTTATTTCCTCTTCGCCTTGGATCTAAGGTTCAGACAGTTACTTAGGTTTTGCTTTGCAACTGTTTCAACGGCGGCCAAACAAAGTTATTTATTTTGCGATGTCGACTTCCTCTTTTTGATGTGCAAGCTGGCATTTACACGAAAAGTTTTTGGTTTCCGTAAAGAAACCGCAACCAGGCCTCGAGAGATCGACTCTGTTTACTGAGCAGTGTTTATTTAACTCAGTGAAGGCAGAATGTCACATTTTTTTGCCATGAAAAGGAAGTATTTTTAACTGTTACAAATCCTCTGGCCGCGGGAGTTTTACGCTGATGGTACCTAAAAATACGAAAATTAGCTTAACCAAAAGAGGCTGGCTGGCTGCCCTGAATTGCAGCACGTGGCTGAATTTCAAGCACAAATTTGCATTCCCGAAGCGAAGAGCTAAAACAATGGGCGCGTGGATCAATCAGCAAATCGACTAATTAATCTGTGAAAAAGTTGCTGCTTTAAAGTCTCGGGAGATTTTATTTATATCCGTTCTTTTGTCTGGAGCCCCAGCAGCAAAATAGTGCAACAGGTGTCCCGCGCGAAAACCACAAGTAACGATCGCATTCCACGATATCTAAAAACTAAACGATCGAGGAACACTTCTAAACAATTTTTTTCTTCTTGTTTACCTTGGATGGCAGAAGAGTAAACATTTCAATAAAAACTTTTATGGGAGTCCATTAACGTGAATTTATATTGGACAGATTGCTCCGCGCTCCAGATGGAATTATTTAAAGTGCTGCGTGCTCTGATCGAAGAAAATTCCTTGTTCTTGAACATTAGCATTACAGCAAAAATGAAAATGACGACATTAGAAAGCTTGGAATCTTACAAGTTCCGCACATTGTTCAGTTTCAACGAAGAAAAGCCCCTCGCAGTCCCCCATTTCGTTTTCCTTTATATTAGAGCTGACATGCAGTTTCAGCACTTTTGAACGAGGTATTTTCGATCACGCTATTGTAATTAATAATATTTGCCCCCATAAAGTTGGCTTCGTTTCAAAATATTCATGCGTTGTGCATGGCCATGGACCCGATTGAGCCCTGTCTTGCAATTTTAGCTCATTTTTGTCAGGTACCAGTTTAAAACACTCGGATCACACAGCTGGTAACTATTGTTTGTATCATTATCGCATTTGTCCATATTCCGGTCCAAATAATACCTTCGATCTGCTTAGGAGGTCGACCTAGCCTCATTGAGGCACGTTCTAGAATTCGTAATCGAAAATAAACAGTGATGTAACTGCAGCCGAAGCGGAAGATTAGTCAAGCCTAGATCCACATCCTTTTATAGTTTGTCCTTAAGTGGTTAATATTTGATATGGTATTTCATGTTGCTATGCACTATATAATAGCGAATTGAACAGTATCCAAGTGAATTTGCTAATGAAAAGGCTCAGTTATGCTCTAACACATCTCCGATACCTGTTTTTTACGTAAAATAAACTCGAGGAGTTCTCGATTTCTGGAGAAAGTCCATGAAAAGGTCGATTTCCAGGTGCATGTCTGCACGATTCCTTCAGTGATGCTGAAAGGTCAAATCTCTTGGTGTGTGTCAAATTACGTATTTGCTTTTCGAATTCTCTAGGAAAGGTAATGACGTACAACTTCCGTTGCTAACGAAAGCGCCCAACATTTCCTTTTGCTCAGAAAGCGAAAGCTCAGTGTTTTAAATGCAGAATAGATATTCACTTTTCACGAACAACATCTCCACTGCCAATTGTTTTAGCTAGAAGTCAGGTGCATTTCTGCAAAATTCTGTTCGTCACTTGCTTTTATCACATGCAACACACGCAATGTTTATGTCATTCACCTTGTAACGGAGTTCTGGCAGATTTGGCGCGGAATCACATTGTTTATATTTCACTGAAATCTGACTCATGGTTTGCTGCCCACCCATTCCCAAGGGATCTCAAAGGCAACTCTGATTGGTCTGTGGGCGGGAAGTAATTGTATTGAATGTATGACGTAGTTGAATGGACAGTTGTGAAAGGCCCCCGGTCGACGGATAGCAAAAGCTGGAAACTGCAATACACAACTGTTGAAGGGAAAAAAGTACGTATCTCATCCATCTTTTTTTCGGCAAGACTGTGATCGACGGCTATAGGGATCAATCCAAGGTGTTTCTCTTCTCATCGAATGTAGAATATAGCGGAGTTCGTGAATTTCCGGTGAGTAATTGTCGTTTTCAGTTCGAACGCGTGGAGAAATTGGTTTTTAGTTTGTGTCGTCATTTGGACTCTCTACGTGTAACGTATGCCTTGTTTACTTTGGAACCTCTGCTGTTGATTGCCTGAACAATTTCTTTCCCTAGAAAGGTTTTCGTTTGACTTATTGGGTAAACGTGTTCTCGATTGGCTCTAGTGCACGCATTTTGTTTGTTAGAAAGCTGCAAGTTTAGGTTTTATTGATCATTCAGGAAGAGCTAACTGCATTTGCATTAACGCACGCCACATTTTTAGCCGTCGGTGTTAAAAAGGTTTTCTCTCTAAGCAACAGCTCACTTTGTCTCGAAACATCGCATTAGTAAGTAACAGATTTTGGAGAGTGGGGTTTTACTCTGTGTTACGATCCTGAAACGAAGAGCTGTTTCCTTATTTCGCTTTTGCATGGCTGAAATTTTAATTTCCGTTCTAGTAAAGTGAGAACCTGGTGCGTTGCGTAGGCATACCAAATGGTTCTTTTTCCTGTTGTAGTAGTTGTGCCCGGTTTCTTCTGTTAAGGTCTGTTACCTTTTATTTCTACCTGGAGAATGAAAGACTTTTATCGAAAGCTGTTCAGGCATGAAGCAAGATTTATCCAGCGATGACTACTACAACGTTTAACCTCGAATTGTCTCGTGATACACATACTGCCTGTCCGGCGTTCCCGGATTTATCGCAACTTTATTCCTTCTTGTTTTCTGTGAGGTGCTTTTCAGTTCAGTTGTAATCCCATCATACTAGTTTTTAAGGATGTTGTTGTCCGTCACGAGGACTCAAAATCGTGTTGCGAACGTGTCGTATCGTGCAGGGGGTCAAACAGCAGTCAGCACACAATTCTTTGAATGTAATTTGTTGGGGCTGTCTGCAGGCATCAAGTTTAGTGTGGTTAGCTATTCTCCAATCGTGCAGATCACTTTTTTGGTTGACTAAACGAAAGGTTGTTTGACCATTTTTCAGAGGAACTTCTTGTTTCAACATGGTCAGGGTTTCAGTTTTAATTTCTGATGATCGTGTTTCAGCTCGTGTTTTATTGATCTTCCAATTTGCTTTCTTTCAGCTTGGCGTTACGAAGAGTGAATTACCACCTCTACGTAGGCAAGAGCGCCTTTGCCTTGGGGCTCGTGAACAGCGTTGAGAAAAGTAGATCTGGTGCAGTTGTTGCCTTTTCGTTATGTCTTTTGAGACATTTCCTTGTGGTAGCCCTTGTGTGAGCCCCGAAGAGCCTGCACCGTCTCTTTACGTCGAAAACCCCGACGAGGATCCGAGCAGATTGCTAATCAAAAAGCCAATGGAAAGTGAACCCTCGCGACTTGCCGAGACAGCAAATATAGAGGACAAAATAATGAACGAAGATGAAATAGCTCAAGTTAACGCGAGTGGAGGCGAGGGGCTTAAAAATAACACGCTAAGCGAGGATGGTCGTACAAGGAAGAACGGTGACGATTCAGCACGTCGTGTTGAAGGTCGTCATGTTTACGATAAGGTCGACATTGCTAGACCTCACTGGATTCACCTAAATTACGGAAATCCGGCGACAAGCCCAGCGCATTCCTCGCTTCTGAAAGAACAACAACTGAAAGAAAGTTTGCCGTCTGGCCAAAATTTTGAATCTGGGGATCGCGCCAGTGTTATTATCAAGCGATCAAAGGAACAAGAGGAAATTGACTCAGACTCTGACAACGAATCACAAGATACGAGCAAAGTAAACACGAATGATTCACTTCGCTGCAATGAGAATATTTCTGGTATTGAGGCAAGTGAGGAAAATGTAGCGAGCTTGCACGGTCACTCGCGTGCGATCTATTATAATTATGATGTGAACCACGAGGAACTTCGCAAATTGCAAGACAAAGGAAATGCTAAACTTGTGCGAGGGATACACGGTGAAGCAAAAGCTGTGCCGATCTATTACATGCCTGCTGGATACTCACATATGGTCGCTATGCCAGGCGGTGCATCCGCCGGGAATGCAAACATGCTGCAGAGAGATCATTTTGCACAAGCAAACTCGAACGAGGTGAAACGCCTCCACTTGCAGCAGCACTTGGATTACGTGGCAGGAAGACCCGAGCAGCAAGTCCCAGTTGCAAGTAATGTGAACACAAGCGAGCGATATGGGAGTTTGCAGCATGGTTCAGCTGCTCCCGGCATTCAATATGTTGACAGACGCCTAATGCACGGGGGTTATGCCATGGTACCCGGAATTGGACCCGTCTTTTACCAGGGTATTCCTGTAGGAGGGGATCAAAGCCATTATGAAAATTTTACGTCACTTCAACAACAATTTGTACCCATGAGCAATATCCCAGCCGAGACAACAAGTAGTCAACCACAAGCTCAGCCAACCACTTCCTCAGGTGCTAACAATGATCATGCACACCAGCGAAGCCAAGAAAAGCTGCTAAGTAAGCGTCAAGTGTGCTTGTGGTAATTATGGCTAGTGATCAAATTAGAGTGTTCCAATATTAGATATTATTTCTGACCTATATTGAACTCGGCTATCCAATATAACTATCCTTTATGACGAAAATCCTTCTTTTCAATGCAAAGTGGAGTAATCATGACAGGTGTAAATCCGGGCCTCCCTTCTTTATTGTTCTGGTATTCCCTTAAGAGAATTTGCAAGTTTTTATTTCCCACAATAGTATTCACATTTGTATTGTTTAAATATTTTGACAGCTATGAGCTCCAATTTGATATTTTGGCCCCTGTTTTCATCCATCTCTGCATGCAATGTTCGGAAAAAATGTAAAGCAATTTCCTACAAGGATATGATCTAAGATATTACCACCAATAGTGTTTTGCAAGTATTTTTGGCAAGACTAGACCTGCTGTTTGTAAGATTTTTATCCATAAGTGGCTTTTTTGACCTCATCTCTGCATGCAATGCTAGGAGAAAACTTGAAACATTTGTTTGCAAGTAAGTTCAATATGAAATTTTGGAGAGTTTTTTATCCCACGTTGAACAGAAAATCATTGTTTTATACATGGTTTTTATTAAAGGTATATGGTACATTAACTTTCTTGGTTAATTTTAGTGAGTAAATTGCATGTGTCAATATAAGCTTAGACATTCCTGTTCAACATCTTTGCCCGTGGATTTGTTGTTTTCAAGATAAATCTTTAATTTGAAGAGGTCATGTTTTACCACAAATGGAGGAACAGATGCTCTGAAATTTTCAATAAATTTGTTTACAACTATAAATTCCTGTTTTTAAAAAACGTTGTTTGGATCGGATTGTGTTGGTATAGAATTTGTATTGTAAACATTCTATATGTTTTAAGTTTGGTCTGATGTCTGATCACAGTTGTCTGACAAATTATGTGTTCATTGCATTTTGTTTGAAAAATCCTGGCATGCATGGTTGACTCAATTTTCACTTAAAAGTTAAAAGCATTTTGTTCAGCCAGAGTGATAAATTGTGAATTTCATGTTAGTGGAGAGTTGTTGACCTTTTTTGTCCAAGGGCAAACAACAGCTAAAAGGAATTTGGCATTTTCTGAAAGCAGAAATGTGTAATTTGATATGATCAGATTAGATCAGGTTTTTTAATTTCCAGTGAAGGATCTAGTCTGTGATTGGCCCTTGTTTAAGTAATGAACATGGTGGATTCACTTAATATTTTTCCTATGTATATATGTTACTAGCCTCATGCAGAGCCATGGAATATTATTGGTCCGTCTGACATGTGGAGCAACCAAAACGTCTGAATGATGCATGCAATGTGGTGAAACTGAGCTTGTGATTTTCATGTTTTGAATTCCACAGATGCTTCCAAGCCTTACGCAAGCCCTGTGCATCATACCTCTGTTGTGTCTCCAGCATCAAGCTTGGAGGAAAAGAGATTGACAAATTCCCCAGCTGTTAAAAGTGAAAGTGGCAGTCCAGCTCCAGTTACTGTGGCAGAGGATGGCGATGGCAAAAGAGGGGTGCAGGCAAAATTGAAGGGAAAGCCCAAGCCAGCGTCTGGAACTAGCAAACCAGAAATTAAGTGTGAACAATGTGGAAAAACATTTGGTTCATCCAGTGCTCTTGCAAAACATAAACTTACACATAGTGATGAAAGAAAATATGTTTGTGGTACTTGTGGGAAAGGATTCAAGCGCCAGGATCATTTGTAAGTGAATATGGTCATCACTGCAATCTATCTTTTATGCTGAAACTAAAATTGTAAATTCCTGATTAAACAGCCCTAGCATAAAAAAAATTAGTAGTTACAAAATTGGTTTTCTTATATATCTTAAGAAGCAAATTTTAGAGTTCCTTTGGAAAGGTTCACTAGTCAAGAGGCTTTTCTGTTCATAGATTTTGCGAGCTTGTGATCCGAATAAAGAAATATAGGAAGCTTTTAAACCCTTGACCTTCAAAACTAGGATACCCAGTGATTAAATTTTGAGCAAAAGCTTTTTCAGACGATTTCCAAAGAGTGCACCAAATGAGGCACCAGGGGCCACAAAATGCTGGTAAAGCACAACCTTGGATGTTGTTTTGCAACCTGCAAAGTTAAATATTTGACTTACCATTGTTTAGTATTTGAAGTGGAAGGAGTCTTAAGTGAAGGGTATCATGCTGTCTTTTAAGACAGGACGCTGAAGGCCACCGAGAGCAGATTGATAAATTAGGGTGAAATAATGTGCAGATTATGAAGATGTACTAATTTACTCTTTTCATGAAACAAAACATGTGGAAATACCGTAAAATTCCGAAAATAAGCCCCGGGGCTTATATTTTTCAAAGGCCCTTTTTGAGGGGCTTATTTTTGGAGGGGCTTATATTTGGAGGGGCTTATCTATGGAGGGAAATTTGCATCTCAAAATCGAGGAGGGTTTTTTGCGTTACCGGTTTGGGGGGCTTATATTTGGAGGGGCTTATTTTCGGAATTTTACGGTAACAGTGTACATGTAGATGCTTCAGTCTGTTGCTCAGCTTGTATTTTTCTCACGTTTAAAATTCTAATCACCAATTGGAGAGTAAGCCAAACGGCCCTATGGAGGCTGAATCAAACAAACAGGCTTATTAAAATACCAGACATTTTGCTGTATACAAACACAACATGCCTTAAAAGGATCCAAAAAATGATTGTACAGTAATGTGGTGCGTGGTTCCTTCTAGAACATCATTTTCACTAACAGCCTTAAGTCTTGCTGGACTTTAGATATGCTTGTGTTGCTGCGGAAACCAGGCATTATGAAAGTTACGCATGCCCAGCACTGGGTGATGTTAGTAAATTATTAACCCCTTTTTGCCAACTTAGTAATAAAAAATATATATATTGACCAATTTATGGAACTCTTTATAATAATTGTATTATTGTACAAAGAATGAGTAAACTGAGTTCTATTTAACTTTTATTCTTGTTTCCAGGAATGGCCATATGGTGACCCACCGTGACAAAAAGCCATATGAATGCAACTTTAGTGACTGTGATAAGAGTTATTGTGACATGCGTTCCTTGCGTCGACATCTTGAGAATCATCACACTGCTAATGGAATGAGCGACTCCAGGACCCATGGAGCAGTAAGTCCATGCAGTGATAAACCAACTGTTGCAAATGTTGAGCGAGCAGATTCACCTAGAAATTTGACAAAATTGGCCAAGGGTAGATCACTTAAAGACAGAACTGACCATCTTCATGCCAGTGGTTACGACAGCGGCCGTAGCTCGGGAAGATCCACACCTGGAAGCACACATGATCCTGGTGTCGCTCGTGAGAGGCCAACTAATTTACCCTTAGAAGGACCTGCCTTGAATCCACTGAGAGAGCGCAATAGTGATAGCTTCAGTTCAACTGCATCTGAAGAGGTTGTTGGCAATTCTGGGGAACAAAGTGTACCAGAAAAGTCAACTGATGCACCAAAGCCCGTCTTAGCTGGTGACTTGCTCAAACAGGCTGCAGATAGGTTTAAGACACAACAGATAGGACGAAACCCAGGTGATATGTGGCCAGAACGATTTCAGCAGCAGCCTTATATGGTGTACCACCCTTACGGCACCTCGGAGCAACAGTGGTATCCCACAATGTATGCCCAGAATCCACGCTTTGTGTATCAATATCATTCTGTATTCCCATCAGTTTATCAGGTGCCTGTCACTGGCCTTGTCAGCGAGCCTCGTCAGCGGATGATGAGTGATTCAGACACCCCTGAAGTGACAAAAACAGTCGGTGGTTCATCACAGTTAAAGCCATCGCCCTCTCAAGAGAATAATCGTTCAACTGATGCCATGCAGTTAGCTTATCTCAGACAACATCAAGTTGGAAGGGCCACAGGGACACCGACTGACCCTACTGCTGTTGCTGTGGCAACTGCTAAAGAAATGGGACATTTTAGATATGCAGGAGAGAGTTATTATGGAGCCCACCCTCAAGGCACACAGTGGCAACAGGTTAGTTTTGTTGTTATAGTTAATAACTTTGAGCCAAAGGGCTTTAAAAAAACTTAAGAAAGAATCCATCAGAAAATTGAGTAATTTCAATTTTCAGTGGACGAAAAACCTTGCACTAGAATAATTTTAACAATATCGCATTCATTTTTTAGATTTTTCAGGGGCTGTAGATATAATAAGTTATCTGTAATAGCAACAAAGACTATTTCTCATGGGAGCCCGAGAAAATGCTTATTGTGCATATTAAGTGCAAATCCCAAGTCTGCATTGGCATGTACATAAAAAAATAATCTATTGTCCTCATTCAAAAAAGACCATAGTTCCCTGGACACATGTCACAAACTCAAAATTTTTTTTATTAAAAACTGTCAAGCATAATTTAAATTTTAGGGAACAAAGTCACCTGTTTCATTGGCGACATCTTGTTATTTCATCTACAGACTCAAAAGTTAGAGCAGCATTTTCATTTTAAAAAATCATTAATTCTTTGATTTGCTGAAAGGGTACCTAGGTGGATACAGGGGTCAGCGGGGTAAATCTATTTGCGTCGTGTTTAGTTCTAATTTTAGAGTGATCTCAGTTACATTATTTGGAAACAGAATATTGCTTTGTCTTCGGCTATTAAATTAATATTCAAATTTTAGAGGAAAACTTGTGGAGCTAGTGGTGGAATATCATCAAGACCACCAAACATACATGTGATCTTTACAAATAAGCAAATTTGTAGAATTTGGGTAATCTGGACTTATGCCAATGTTGGTGCATTGTGGTATGTGGTTTATAAAAAAGATCCTCATGAATTTTTTGGCTTTGGCCATGTCAAAACAGTGTTTTCTTTTTTCTTTTAAATCACTTCAATAATGGTAGAATGGATTACTCTTATACAGAATGTGGCTCATTTATTGTACATTTTAAACTCATACTTTTTGAAAGAAATGTATTCAAAATTTACCTTTTACTTTCTTTTAGAACTGAACTTGCTTTTAATTCCACAAAGTGTTTTTTTTCTAAGGTTGTCAGATTTTTATTCATTATGGGTCATAGTATCAATGCAATCTCAGATAATCATGTTTGCTTTTTGTGAAGCAGAGTTTGTGCAGACCTGTCCTTTCCTCACTTGGCTGCCTTCACGTACAGATCAAGATGAATATTTAATGTGTAGTACTTCAGGTTTAAATTGAATGAATTTCAGCCAATAGTAACCTTAAATACTGCATCAATATCAAAAGTTGGTGGCCTTTGCGTCACTTCTCAGACCATCTAAGCTAGTGGCAAACTTTTGAATATTTTTGAAGAGATGGACCAATATCCAATTGTTATTCTGCAAACAGAAGGGTTTGAATTTGAAAGCCAAATATTATAAAGCTTAACATGATAAATATTCATGAGAAATTCAATTGTTTCTAGGCAGCCAGCTGTTTCGTTGGTTATTCTTATCACCTGTGACTAACACTGTCTTCCTGTCTCTGATTGGTTTATTGTTGTTTGACTTGACACATGATTGACTTGTGGTTGTCTTCTGTGGTCCATTCAAAGCTAGTAAATTTGCATTTTGGCCAGAACCAAAATTAAATTTCCTTCTCCTTGTTGTGGTCATGTGATCAACTGTTTCTCGGTCCTGTTGTTTTTGCTTGAAGTGTGGCACGTCATTCATGAGCTGTTGTAGTGTTTCAACCCTAGCATTGTAGACAGATCCTGCAAGGACTTGTGTCCTCTTAAACCAAATGGAATTCAGTCATAAAGTTCTCTTTCAACTCTGCCCAAATGGAATTCTACCAAGCTTAGTGCTTTTTGTGGAGCAAAATGGTTAAGGCATGTATTTTATTCTTCTCTCAAGCAAGTTTATATACCTCTGAGGCTAGCTATAAATGCTCAACTAAAATATAACAAGCTGATTCAATCCAGGGTTGCTGTATTGGCTCAGGGATTTAGTCTTTGACTGTAAGGCCCTCTGTTGATAATCTTTTTGTAAAACAAAGGTTCAAGACATCTGATAATTTCATATCTTTTTTTATCATCTCTAATTTTGCTGCAGAGTAGGTGATCCTTTAATTTTGATTACATTCATTGTATCTTTGATATTTTTAGTATTTCCTTTATGGTCTTGATCAAGTTTACCTGTCCCTGTGTGTGCTCTCTGTTTTAGTAAAGCATAATAAATTTTTACTGCTGTTTAGCATCTCCAAGGAAAAATTTTCATTGTCAGGAAAGAGGAGAATTTATTTTAATTTATTACATGTTGCATTACCATCACACAATCTATAGTAAGTGAAAACAGCATATAAAAGGTAAAATTTTGTAAGGTTTGAGCTTAAAGAAAAATTAATGGTTTCAAAAATAATATTGTAAGTTTCTTAACACCTTTTTTGCTCAAATTTGTATTGGTGGAAATAAGATTTTTTTATTTTTGTGCTAACAGTTCCTTGAAAATGGGTAATGTTGGTTGAAATGTCTACTTGATCTAGTGAAGGTTATCTTAAAGCATTGTTTTTAGTGGCTTCAATGCAACAACAGTAACATAACTTTTTCTACAGATCAAACCAGAATTACACAAAATACTTTTTATCTGGGCCCAGTACCATTGCATAATATGCTGTAGTTTTTTTTCTGTCGTGGCTCATTTGTTTTTCTCATTTCTTTTGTTACAAACTCATTCTTATACATTACCATCCCCTAACACAAAATAAAATTAAATGTTAACCTCAACATAATTCAACATGTTCACCATCACCACCAACATATGCTTTTGGAAAAAAGTCCTGGCAAGCTCTCTGAATACTTTGATGTCGTCAGTAACACAGTTGGCTCATATCACTGAATATAAATAAGGACTGCTTAGATAATGAAAGCTCTGTTCAGGGTGCAAAGAAAATCATTTTTACAGCTTGCCTTTTGGGCAATCTGATGCTAGCATTTACTAGCCCAGTCATCATTTCAACTAGCCCCAAAAGCTTTTTGACAAGCAGAATTGATTTCACAGTTCTTCTGTTATTCAAATTCCTCAAAACACATCACTTGCCCGTCGGGCAAGATAAAAAGAGAATTCACTAGCCCGATAGCAAAATCCACTAGCCCCGGGCTATCAGACACTACTTTCTTTGCACGCTGCTGTTGCTATTAGTTTAGTATCAAGATCTCAGTGAATACTTACCTAATGTTCATAAGCACACAAGGTCAATACCCAACATGCAACCAGCACAACACACCATAATAATAGAACAATGAAATTATCATGAAAAAGAATGATGCAGAATATATAGGATCGTAATCACAATGGCTCTATAATACTGAAAGATTATCCTGTTAAAATATTCTATTTATTGATTATTTCATATCTAAAGCTTTGTTTTTTTTTCGTTTTGTTGTTGCTTTTTTTTCAATGAAATTGTGACATTTCTTAGTTTTTAAAGTGATTGATGGTGTTAGTTTGAATAGCCCTTGCCTATCACTAGAATTAAATGTCTCACTGATGTAAATATGTTTGTGCAGTTGTACAAACCCAGGGTCAAATTTTTAGCCTGAGAAATGAATATTTCTCAATAGGCACATAATTTGGTAAGTGTCTTGTATAGATAGCCTCTACATCAGTTATTGTCAGTGTAACTTATTTCATTTTAAATTCCCTAGGTTCGTTATGATGAAACAACAAATGCTTACAATTCAGCAACATCAATGGGTAACAGCAAATCGTCAGGTTATGGTCATGCCACAGTACCAGATAGTAATGGGCTGGCAAACAGCAATGCTGAGTCAAATCATTTGGACACGGTATCACGCGGAACACAGTTCCGTCCTGGAAAACTGGATACTAACAGTGAACCACCTGAAAAAAGACAACGATTGTCGGAAGTAAGTGCTGGCGAAAGAGAAGGCATTAATGGAGCACTGCATGGTCAGATTAAACTTGAAGACAATAATAATTCACAGGAAAAAGTGAGAGAAGGGCTATTCAGAAATCCAGCAGAGATAGTCACCCCACGACGTAAGCAGAGGCCACGACCTGAACCCTTGACGATCCCACCATCAGCCAGTACTACCTACTATTCAAATCGACCAAACTCACCAATGAGCCGCAGCAGACCATGCTCGCCACCTTACACACCTCCACCCATGTTGAGCCCACGCAGTATATATTCTATCGGAAATATAACCCCACGATTGGGCCCATCCATTCAAGTGCCCACAACTCCTAGCAGGCTTCAGCTACTCAGCAGTCACAGCCACAAAAGTAAGACATCATTCTATGTACATTTGTTAAATACAAGTGAACTTTCTAGGAGTGATCAGCCTAAATGCCAAGATTTAATGGTCACTTAATAGGAGGCTAACGATTACAAAAGTGAAACTATGTACAGGGTACCTCTTTTGAGAACAGCTGTATTAAAAACGCATCTGTCTATTCAAAGAAAAGTCATTTGAACATTTTTTTGGTTGCAATGCAAACAGTGCTGAGCTGTCACTAAAAATTATTTTGTAAACTCTAAGTGGCATAGTTCATGCAGCAAACATGGAGAGCTCCAACGAAAACAATATTATTTGAAAATAATGAAACTTATAATTCCATCACCTCAAAATCTTGATCTTGAAGTGGTGCTGGTTGCTTTTACACTTGTAGGTTTTACTGTAGCTGAATTTTAGAAGTAAAAACTTTGGTACATTAGCTTTTGATCTTTTTATTACATATGAAATACACCGTTTAAATCTCAAGTTGGATATGCTAGGATTAGTCCCTCAAATAAGAAGACATTTTGCATCCTGTTTCTTAGGTTCTACTTTATGGGAATTTTTTTTCTCTCTTTCAAGTTTAATGCTGTAATGCTAATGACTTTCCTTATTTTTCAGGCTTTGATTTAACAGGAGATGAAGAGTCATTACCTTTTCCTGAACCGTAAGTATGACTAATCTATTGTTAGATAAAAAGAAAGGAATACAATTCTTCCAAATACATGACAAGCTCAGAAGATATCCAATCATATAATCAGATCATCACAAAATATACTTTGTGGTATTGCCTTTTGGTAAAAAACTCTAAGCCAATTCTTACAAGGAAGAAAATGCCCACATGCAATGGCTCAAGGACAGTGTTATGATCGTTTCATACTGTGGACAACTTATGCATTTTTTACAGATTTGACGTTGATTTGATTTTGTAAAGATTGAAGTCAACAATATAATATTATTGAGAGAGCCTGGTACTCTAAAAACATTCAGATTAATGAACTGCCATTTACATTCTTGACAGAAAAATCAATGTTGGTCGAGAGTTTCAAGCAGAAGTACCACCTTTTGCTGGTAAGTTGTCAACATTATTTTTAGAAAATTATCAGAGTTTTAGTCTGTCAGTGGGGTGCAAAAATAGCCAATGTCCCTCCCACTCTATCAAATAAGTCCCTGCAAACATCCCAGGCTCTAATATGCTCTCTCTCCTCAAACTGTCCTTGGTTAATGATTAGTGTTGCTCAATTTGCTGGTGGAAGTTTACACAATGATTGTGTTACTATCAAAAGTAAAGTTCTTTTCACGATGTTTGATGTCAATGTTGGTTTTTCTTACAAAGGCCATAAAGATGATGCAAAATATGATGACCACAAAGCAACTTTAGTTTGGAAACCAGTTGATGAAAAGAAGAGATCCAGAAGAGAAGAAAGTGAGTGTGCTGGGTTTAGTCTTTCGTTTCTTTTTATCGTGTGAGTAATGATGGAGCGGGATTAAATTTTTACTGTAATTTTTTGGAGTTTTGATACATGCCACTGGGCAAGTGCCTGTTGCAATAACATTAAAAAAGAAAAAGGAAGTTGTAAAAATTATCATGTTGCAAGCATCAGATTTAGAAAGAAAGATTGGGTCTAAAATGGGTCAAAATGTTAAATTAAATCATTGGTTTATAAAGTTGTCCTCAAGAAAGTAAACTACAATTTGCTATTGAAAAAAGGAACCATGCATGTACATCTTTAGTTCATGAAGCCTGTACTTACAGTGGTGTTACATGCATAAAATGTGGTATATGACTACCATATCCTGGCCATTTGTCTAAAATACAACTTCTAAAATTTCAGTTGAATCTTTCCTGGAGATGGCCTGTTCTGTTGCTGTATTAGGGGGTGGATCAAACAAAGAATATGCCCTGCACATCTTGCATAGAGCAAATGGCAATGTCAAGGTAATTTAAAAGTTTGATGTGATACTTAATCAAGTTTGAGAGTGCATTCCATTGGGATGATCTGGATAAGTATCGGTGATCTGAGATCACTTGGATCCTAGCGCATCAAAGGAACCGATGAATCCACCCTGGAAAAGGATTAACCACTTCATCTGATGTTCGACGATCCGATTGATCTCAGATCCTGATTCTGGTCTGGATCATCCCAAAAGAACGCACTCTTAGTTTTCATGTCCTTGATGCTGATGTCTGAACGTGAACTCTTTGTAATAACTGTGTTATGTGTCTTGACAGGAGGCAGTTAAATTGCTGCTATGTCAGAAATATATTGCACAACAAGGTGACCCCATGTATGATTATCACTATGAAGGTAAAGTTCATTTCCACTGGCCTTTGATGTAAATTATGTTATTTTTATAGTATTATACAGTCTGTGACATATTGCTTTGTGCGTTTTCAGGATCAGTTCGATGGGCATCAAAGGAAAGGCAGATTTTTAGGCAGAACTTCAGAACAAAGGGCAAAGAATTCAATGAAATTAAAAAGGATGTAAGTGTGATGTTGTTATAATGGCATTTCAAACAGGCTAGTTTATTCTCGTTGATGCAGTCAAATCTGTTATAAAAAACAACCTGCCATTTACTTAGTTTGGAAGTTATGTATACTGTAATAGCTGCAATAGCTTTGGAACATTAAAAAACTAACATAAGATTGAGTTTTGGACTATTCACTTCCTTAATCTAGTGTTAGCACCTTTTATCAAGGAAAATTGTTTAGCATTTCTGTCCCTTTTCTTTCGAAATTGTGACACTATAATTTTATTTTTAGTTAGTTAAAGTAGGGGTACAAATGTTGTGGTAAATTTATGGCTTTGCAATACGGCAGTCTGGGATTTATGCTGTTCCCAAAGACTCTGTTGAAAAATCCCAATTGACTTTGTATGTGTAAAGTATTGTAACCTTCCACTTATTGTTGGTATTTTTCATTGCAGGTTGGAGACAAGAAAACAATATTTGATTGTATTGAGTTTTATTACCAATGGAAAGCTGCGTACCCTGAAGCTATCCGTGGAAGAACTCGCTACATTGACTCAGACTCTGATGAAGTAAGTTAACCTCAGATAAACAAGAATGATACCCTTTACTGAAGTTGTGATACAGACTAAGTTGTTGCAGTCCATAAATCCAACTTAAATGAGTAACAAGGTTCCATAAGTTACAGTACAGACCAAGAAAACAAGGTTTATAGCTCTGGGTTTAAGTAAAGAGGGGAAGATTTCAGTTTAAGTGGAATGGCTTTTGACGATTTATACATGCCTAATCCTAAAAACAGGAAAATTTAATACGTGTCTAAAATTGTTGAGTCGTCAAAAACATTCATACGGTAGTAGGCTTTCTGTCGCAAATTGTGATCAAAATTAGCAAACATCGGAATTAAGCAGTCTAGTGAAATACATGCAGCTAAATTGACCAATAAGAAGGGATGTAGTATATGAGAGAGAACTTGATAGTAATGTTAAGTATTATTTGCTAACACTTAGTCCTTGTGTATTTTTATCAGGACTATGAAGACACCTCAAGTGAAACTAACAGTAACCCCTCCTTTTTTGAGTGCGATTTCCCTCAGTGCAATGCTGTAAGTTGAGATGTTTCTTGAAGATCATTTGTTGTTAAGCAAATAAACCTGATGCTTGTGCAAGTGGCATCGCTGATCCCTGCATGCAGTGTATAGTGTGCATGTCTTATATGAACTTAGTAAGTTGCCAGCTGTTAGCCTGAGCCACAGACAAATCTATACCCCTGGTTCAGTCCATCTTCGAAACAGCACTGAAATCCATGTTCTGGGACTCAGCTGTGTATCAAGATTTGAGTACGTGCCATGATTGACCTGTTTAAAAAGCCATTGTCCATATGCCAATCAGGTTGAAGGGAAATTTGAAACACATTTAGCACCCTTTGCAGACATGACTAATCAGGATTAGATGACTTTTGCGACACAGGCTAGCTGAGTGTCTGCCTACCGTGAGTTTTCCTGTATATATGTGAAATATAGAACACCCAATCTGTTGTTTAACAGATTTGAAGCCTATCTGGCAGTGACTCTTTTCATTTCATTTTGCTTTGCTTTTTTCTTGATTCTCATTCATAGTCGACTTTCTTGTTTCTTTACAGAAATTTGTATCCAGACAAGCTCTCAATGGTCACATACGTGTTCATGGAGGAAGGTACCTAGCAGAATTTCCATACTTTGTATTGTTGTTACTAACTTCACTTAGTAAAAGTGCACATACATAAAAATTTTCCCTTGAATAGTTAGCACATACAAAACTTAAAAGTGGAAGTCTGTGGGTAGGAGTAACGATTCATATTCCTTGCAGTTTGATTCGATTATGTGAATGTTTCTTAATTCTTATAACATAACGCGTAATGTAAACAACATGCAACCCTAAACCCTCAATTTGAGAATAGTAGCAGGGATAGGAGGATTCACCGTCGCTTGGTTTGTTGCCATGTTTGAGAACCTGACAAAGAGCGTGACGCACATAGTTTGCCTTATTTGGAAATTCTCAAGGGGTGGTTGAAGGACAGCATTTTTACCAGGCAACAAAAAATGGCGCACAAAATGCTCTTTCCTCATCAATCATAAATGCACAATTTAAAGCGTTCTGGATTTCGATTTTACAATATGATAACTCACTAAGGGCACCCTGGAAAAGGTGTGCAAAAATCGAACCAAAATCGAAACTTGGAAGCAAAGAATCGTGAATCGAACCGAATGGTCATAATAACGATTACCAATCGAGAATTCTATTAATCGTTACGCCACCATCTGTGGGCAAAACCTAAAACATGGCCAGAGCACTTCCACAACTCAGATACTCACGTAAAACAATCTTAGCAAAAGCCCTTAGAGGATGTTATTGTTAAGCTGTTTGTTTACTTTTTGTTTGTGAACTTTTTCCCGAACTTTTTCTTTTCAGTGAGAATTGATTACATTTTTTACTTTATTCCTCAGCTTCATGAAGCCTTCCGAACCAAGACGTAAGAATCGTAATACAACAGTCGCAGCATCAAATGGATCAAGTCAGGGCCATGTTGTGAGGAAGAGAAAGTCTCCTTCACCTGCTCCTGCAACCAGCATGTCTGAGTTAAATAACCAAGATGGTCCACTGCCTGAGTTCGCTTGTAAAGTGTGTGGCAGGTGAGTTTACACTTGTAGTGCCTCAGAATCTAAATCTGTTAGAGGTACTGTGTCGCACAGTCCCGTTCATTTTGTTTAATTTTGCCAATTTCTTGCCCTCAGTCGCCATGGCACTTAAAGTAAGCAAAGAAATTACAGTTAAATGACAAAATCAGAGATTCGAGACAAACAAATATGTCTCCTGAGCATTATTTCTGAAGTTGCAAGCAGCAGGGATCAACTTTGAAAAACTGTTAGGCTGAACAGTTTTCCAAAAACCCTAATTTCAATCTGTTTCAATCTTCTTCAGTTTTGCCCATCCATGGCATCTTTTTTTCTGTTCTGTTACTTTAACCTTCCTTTAAAGTTTAAAGCAGTTTTTTTTATGTTTCTCTTAATTTAACGGGCATTTTGTAATTTCCTAATTTGGCTGAATTTCATGGCACAGCTCCTTTAAGAAGAGGTTTCACTTTAGTGTGACTCAGTTCTTCCTCGTTGAGACAAAAGCCAGACCTGTCTGACTTCGTTTTTTACTTTGTTTGGATAGGGTGACGAATATCTTTAGGGTGGGGGAACAGAGGAAAATGGATATTGGTATCTGATTCATATATCTGTTGCTTTGATTATTGAGTTTCACACTGTACTTACTTCATTTGCAGAATATTCCACAAAATCAAAAGCCGGTCAGCACACATGAAAACCCATGTGAAAAGACCTGATGATGATGATAGCAAGATGGCTGCAAAGTTGACTTCCTCCAAAAGTCATTGACTCTAGTGTCACTTCTTTTTTTACGAAAAATGGTTACAATGAACAGTTTGACTGTATAGAAGTATTTATGTCTATGTAAGTTATATCTAAGTTATTCTTAATTTATCTGGTTTAGATTATTTCTCACTTGGTGGGAATGGAATTTTTCACTCAAGCCTGAGTCTATCTCTGTGCTTTAAACGTGATGAGGGTACAGAAGAGGGCGGTTGGTAAGTTTTTTTTTCTGACAATTACCCCAATGTGTGCCCTGCACCAGTTTCTAGTATACAGGCTGCCCTATTGTATAGTTCCAAAAAATATCCATACCCCTTCCACTGTGGGCAACAGAAATTCTGAGTGGAGGGGTGACGATTCCAAAAGGAGGTAATTTTCAAGGGGTTGGGGGTGGCCTCGGAAGGTCTTTTTTTCCAGGGGTTCTGAGTAAGATTGATTAGTTAGTAAATGCCAACCACTGCTGACATGGAAAAAGGGTAAGGGGCAGGGAGGGAGGGGGGGCGTAGGACAGGCACCCCATGGAGTGAAATTTGCGGAAGGGGGTGAAGGGTCTAGAACCGGGGGAGGTATGGATATTTCCTGGAACTACACATTGTGTCTTGCGTGTTGATGCGGTAGAATGATAATATTTTGCAGGACAAATTTAATATTGTGGCTGCAGTAACCTACAAAGATTACTTTTTGTATTTATTATGTATAATAAATTAAGTTATCTGGTGCATGTGGGAATGGTTGTTTTGGTTCCAAATGTGCCAGACAAAGATTGATATTTTTATGAAGGAAACCAGTGTTATTTTGGGTTAGTTTTTGACATTTATTCACAGTTGACTTCCCCAACTTCCAGCTTCTTTGCCTTGTCCTGAATTGTAGGCAGCTCTTTGCTTGGTGCAAATTTTGGTCAAACTGTAGGCTGAAATGTTTAGAGTAATCATTGCCACTGCTTAACCTTAAAATGAGGTAAAGGTTTTCTTGTTTCCAGGCTTTTTACTAGAACTAATATTTTACAAGAAGCATTTCAAAGCCAGCATTCATGTTATTCTGTTATAAACATCTTCTTTGAAGCTTTTAACTGGAGTTGAAACTGGAAAGAAGTATTTCTGGGAATGAGTGGGTATTTTCAACCAAAGCACAACTGCAAGCTCCTTCAGGGCATTTAAATCTGATTTCTCCTATCAGTTTTACCAACTGTAAACATGGCATGTTGACACGGGCAATTACTTTAAAAGATATCCCTAATTCACCAAGTAACAGAGCTGAGCATAAGGTTTCAAGGAGAAGCTAGGAAATAATAAAAAAAAAAACAGTTCATTTTATTTTTTGCTTTGGATATTCAATTATAAACAAGTAGAAATGATTGTTGCAGTGCAACAGAAGAAAAGTTTTGTAAATAGTTCAAA